TGGCTATACCTAAGGACATGTCTTCAGCAGTCCTCAACCGCCTACACTTTCAGCACCATGGATGAGATAAGATGTTCGCTGCCGCAAAGGATGTGTGGATCCCTTTGATGCACCGAAATATTGCCGCAACAGCGAAGTACTGTAAAAGCTGCGTAGAAGCAGGTAAAAATCTCAAACCAGATATCCCGAAACGCGATATTGGGGAAACTTATGTACCTAAAGAACCAAACGATTTGGTCCAGTTAGATTTCTGGGGCCCAGTCAATTATGTAAGGGGTAGGCAGAAATATGTACTCGTAGCAGTAGATACTTTTTCGCACTGGCCGTCAACATATATATGCTCAAGTAACAAATCTAAAAATGTCTTAAAGTTCCTAAGTAAGTACATAAATACTCATGGACACCCAAGGAAGTTGCATATGGATCAGGCAACGGGGTTTTTCGCGAATGACATTCAAAGTTTCTGTAACTATGAAGGCATTGAACTAATAAAATCTCCAGTTAAGGATCATCGCGCAACGGGAATGGTCGAAAGAACGATTGGGTCGATAAAAAATTACGTGCTCACTTATCTCCAGGAAAATCAAAATTACAAATTTGGGGAAATGATATCTCGAGCGCTCAGCGCTTTACGTTTTGTGCCACATTCTAAGACTAAATTAACACCCTTTGAGGCATATCATGGAAGAGAAGCAAATACGGCGTTTCGAAACTTAACAAAAACACCATCATTGAAAAATCTAAATTGGAACAATGTTGTTAACCAGAAGCTATCTTGTTTAGACAAGGCGAGTAATCTCCCTGAGGTGGAGCTGACCCTGGATTGGGAAAAGAGAAGCGACCTAGTATATGCACCGGAGCAAAGAAAAACCCCAAGGATTTTGAATGATGATGAGATAACTGACAGGGATCCAAAGGCCACGGAGATGGCAGATAAAGTTTCAAAGCAACCAGGATGGCTAAAACGGCACAAGACAAGCTCAACAACAGTCTACCAAAAAACGGGAAAAACAGACCCAAAGGATCCAAGGAGGTATAAACGTTTACCATTGAAAATCGATAAATTAACGGATCATACTGTGAAAATGGAAAAAGGGGCGTTATTAAGACGAAGTGGTGTCTCTTTTAGAACGGCGGCTGAGGAAAGCCAAATCAGGGATTTGAACGAAGCGTGCACCCCGGGTCCCAGCAAGTACCGAAAAAGCACCCCGGGTCCAAGTGAAACCGGAAAAAGCACTTCGGGTCCAAGTGAGCCCGCAAAAAGCATCCCGGGTCCGAGTGTACCCACGAAATTCAAACGAAAGGCGGAAAAGGAAAAATTCGCAATGGGACAGGCGAAAAAAGCAGCAAAACCAAGGATTGTAGAATATAGCGAGGACGAGAGTGAGGAGAATGACATGGGCGATTGGACAGTCGAGGAGGACGAGGCGGCAAAGACTGCGGCGAGTAAGGAAGTAACTGAACCGTCGGATACAGTTGTCACGCGAACGCCGAAGACCGTCGAAGGAAATCGGAAGAAAAGCGCAGAGGGGACAAGAAAATCAACGCGGCAGCGAAGAGGTGTTGATAAGATGGGGCGTGTCATGATTCATCGCATACAAAACAAGTAACATGACGCAGATCGAAAAGAAAAACCTAAATGAGAGGTTTGGCAAGTTTGCCTGAAAACTCAAATTAAACTGTTCGCCTGAAAACTCAAGTAAAACTGACAATGATCTGTAACATGAATTTGCAAGGATAACAAATACAAATTTATACATTTTATACAAGTTAAAATTTATTTGTGGTTGCCCGAATGAGATAGGGACCAGTTTTAAGTTTATGTAAATGCCATCAATTGTTTCTTTCTGTCTGGAGACCTGCTCCTTTGACCTTGTGATCTCCAACGTCCGTTCTGATCTGAAATAAAACAGTGCAGTAAGATTTCGATTTGATGCCTAACAGTTGAACTAAAAATACAATTTATTCACAATCTTTTGATATTCCAAACATACGACTTTAACAAAATATATCGGGCGATCATGACAGCAAACGTAATTTTCAATTCCCATGAAAGTATATAATGATATTTTTTTCGGCGGTGTATCGACTAATATAAAGCTCGACTAGCAGAAAAACTTCAAAAATGAAAATCGGATCGCTTATTAGTTAAATTCGAATTATAGGTTCGATTATCATAAAATGGAGGTCGATTATCAAAAAATTGTACCGATGGGGGAACCCTATGTGCAGCTATGGGGTCAATCCTGGGGGGGGGGGGGGGGGGGGATTGTGGCCATATGCTTCCTCTTTAAATCTTTTCCTGAGTCGAATTGTGACTGATCACAAATTATGTGATACAAAAATTTGGATCAAGTTAACATCCTATAAAACACCCCCCTTGTTTCACATTTCGGAAATCATACAACATCCTCTAAAACACCCCCCTTGTTTTAAAGTCTAGTCTATTTATTTTCACCTTTTAATTTTTATGCCTGTCGAGCGGTCATCATATTTCGCATCTAAAAGCAATTATAGAAAAAATTTCAATTCAATTCAGTTTGGAAAGATTTCTGTGGAGGATTATTTCGAAATACTCTACGCGTTCATAGAAAACTGGTTAATAGTGTGCTTTATCTATCCCAAATTCACAACCATTTTCGTAAGTTATTGGGCTTCGTCATTTTGAGTCAGTGAAAGGTTTTGTTGGTTTTGAACTCAGGACATCAATATCTTTCAGAAATTTAAAATGTGTCAATAATTGTTCGGTCAAGAAATTATAATCGGTCTGAAAAACATCGACATCATAACAAATGCGTGGTCGGAGTTGTCAAAAGTTGGGAAAACGGGAAGCTCGAAGCAGCCAGACTCTTACGACACATGAAGTGGATTAAAGACACCATTGCTAAAAGTTTAACTCCTATTTTGACTGATATCAATCCAACCTAGGTTAAATGATGAACTAAAAATAGTTAAAATTAGCTGTTTCGACTGAAAAACAATTTTCGGCGCCGCGCGTGCAACATTTTCGCATCTAGCAAAGAGAGTTCCAGCCAAAAAATCTGTTCAATATAAACAACCACTATCAAAACTTGATTAAAGTAAGACGAGACTGCTCGTATCATGGCGAAGCCCTCAATGTTCCAACTGCCTTTCAAGGTCTATGGAACAGTAATAACATGGAAAAATTATATTTAATAAAAAAGAATGAAAAAGAAATTGAGATTTTTTTAAAATCAAAATCAACCTCCTGACGGCCTAAAGAACAAAGTGTTAGATTTCGCTCCTAGTAAGAAGTCAATTATGGCAAAAAAAGCTTCCTTCAATCAATTCAGAACGATTTCTAAGACGGATTACATCTCAGCTGACACGTTAATAGCTTGAAATATATTGCGCGTTATTTGTCCCAAATTGGCAAGCTTTATACCCCCATAACTTAAGGAAAAAAGATCACAGGTGAAATATCTTTTAAATTTAAGCGCAAGGCACCAATACCTTTCGAATGATATAAAAAAAATCCGTCACAAATTGTTAGTTAAAAAATCAAATTTGTCTGAAGAAAAAAAACCACCGGGAGTACAAATAATTCGTTACTTGTAATAAACCCCCATTTCCTAAGAAAAAAGCGCAGGTGACAAATCTTTTTTAAATTGAGCGCAAGGCCACAACATTTTCCAGATTCTATAAAACAATTTTTTCAAGAACGCCTAGATAAAAATTTTTGAATTGGCTGAATGAAAACCAGCCAAGCATAATTATTCCGTCACTTTCTAAAAGTTGGAAGAATAAGTAAGGAAGGAGCCATAATGTGAAATCACTTCAAAAATGTGTAATTCAACAAAAATATTAACTGCAAATCATAAGTTTGTTTTACTGAAAATATTTCTGAAAATTGAAGTAGGGCTTTCATAAAAAGAAGTAAACAAAACAAAAAATCTGTAAAAACAAACTTTTCAATAAGTTTTTGTTTTAACAGATTATCGTGTTTTTTTTTGAAAAAAAGTAATGGAACATATATGGTCGGTTGCTTTGTCTGCTACAGACTAATAGATCTTTTGAGATAACAATTCATTTTGGACTTGTCTGAAACTCAATTGAAATGGATAATTTCATTGTGATGACTTTGTTGGTGATAAGTTTTTGTTCCGATTTTCGAAGAAAGTAACGAAAAGTTTGTGATCTGACAAATTTGTGCTCCAAATAAACTTCGACATTTAAACTAGCCAATTTGACGGAAATTTTATAATCATCCTGAAGGTTTTTTGTTCTGAGTGTGACTTTCAAACAGCAGCTTAGTTGTGCTTATGCTTCGTTAAGTTATGGGGGTTTAAAGATTTCCAATTTGTGACAACTAAGGAGCGACAGATTTTGTACTATTATTGCTTTAGCGGAGATTTAATAGAAGTCTATCTAAACTGAATTGAAGCATTTGGTCTGTTTAATACATTTGTCTGTTTTTTGAAAACGTTATACATTTTTTTAAAGAGAACACTATAGCATAGACTTTAAAAGGCAGTCGGAACATTCGGGCTTCGTCCTGATACGAGTAGTCTTGCTGGGATTCAATCAAACCTGCCGCATTTCGGTTACTCCTGCACTTTTAGTGCAGATTCTCTATTAATGCGTTTAGTAGACGTTTTATTAATCCTACCGATTAAACATTTCCAATTAGTGAATGCAAGCTAATTGGTTCATATAAAATTTACAATTGCGGTATAAGCAAAAAAACTTTCGACCAATATCAATTGATGCATCTGGAAAAAAGCATGGCGGAAGGAAATCCTTGTATAACATAAACAAGTCAAAAATTATATATTTTGAACATGAGTAAATTGGGAAACAATTAAAGTGGTTCTTTTTGGATTTTTGGGGATGAACTAAGGCTAAATTGACAATGATAATCATAGAATTGCAAGGGTAAATTTTTTTAAAGGAAAATAAACTCCAAAATCAGAAGGATCTATAAATTATTGCTCGTTAATATATTTAATGACATACTGTGTTCACTTTTACAGCTTAAGCTGTGAGCGGTTTTTAAAAAGTAATTTTTTGAAATAGCAATTATTAATGATCCTTAGATTTCAGCATGAGTATCTGCCCCTGAATCACCCGACAATTTTGGGCAGCGATCTTTTGAACGCTTTTCGCATAGTGGGTAAAGCCAGGTATCCGAATGCCCTCACCGTCACTCCGACTGAAGCAGGAATGTGCGACAACACCAGTACCATTTTGTGATTGAACTTTGGCACCTGAAAATAAATAACAATCAAACATATCAGGCTTCGGGAAACAATGCACACTGCTGTTCAAACAATTGAAATTTGAGTTTCAGGAAAAACCAAAGATAAAAAAAGATCAAACTGATTTTTGACAAAAATCTAAGTGAGGAGAATGTGGCGTTACATAGATGCAATTCCTGTCTAGATCTATTTTTTGTATTTCTCATAATTTTTAATTTCACTTTGGCGTTACCTTAGATAAAAATACTTTATGAAAAAATTGAATGAAAAATGATGCATTATAACTTCTGGAGAAAAATAGTAGATTTTTATTGCAATTCAGTTCTTCTATAAATGGAAATTAACTGAGTTCAAATATTGAAATCAGGCAATTATAGTTTTCGAAAAAAAAACATATTCCGCCAATCTTTCCTTTTTACAGAATCACGCCGAGCAGAAGTATTCCATTAATTTTTTCCAAGTTGCACAAAATCTTTAATGTTGAAATTAAACTTTCAAAAAATATTTACGCTGGGAATTGATTTGTTTCATAAGTATTGACCACGACGGTCAATCATGATAAAAGAAATCAATTATAGGCGTCAGAAATGATGCAGTTAAATCAATTTAAGATTTTTCTCATAGAATTAAACTGAATCACGCCGAGCAGAAATACTCCATAAAGTTTTTCTAAGTTGCACAAACACTTTAATGTTGCAACAAAACTTTCAAAAAATATTTACGCTGGTAATATATTTGTTTCATAAGTATTGACCAATCAAGTCAATCATGATAAAAAAAAGCTATTGTAGGCGTCAAAATGATGCAGTTTAATCAAATAAAAACTTTGCTCATAAAATTGGACTCTTTTCAACGGTTGTTGTTCACATAAAAACATATCACTGCTTAAGTTCAATTTTAACGGCAAATTTTTCTCAAAAACCTAAATTATCAAAAAATGGTGACTATTAAATATTTGTTTTCCGATATTTTGTTTCGCCTAATTGATATTCTAATAAACAAGACTGCTCGTATATCAAGTCAAAGCACTGAATGTTCCGACTGCCTTTTAATTGGTTGCCAACATCTTTTGGAAGAAAAAAAACGTTTAATGAACTATTTTTATGGACCGTGAATATCAACTTTTAAGTGTTAAAAAACGAATCGTATCAGGAATTAATCATACGACCAGTTTTTTTGTTTTCACTTAAGTATAATTTTATATTTGCGATGATAGTTTAGGTTACGTTTTTGAACACCAAAAAATCTTGCCTGAAGTCAATTTGAAACGATTTATGAGTGGAACAAATAGCCGCTTGCGCGTTCATAACACAAAAAGTTTTGCCCTTTAATTGTACCAAATTAGCTAAAATGGCGATTTTCAAACCCTCATATCTTTTCGGAAAATGATCAGAGAAAAAACAAATTTTTTTATTTAAATGAAACATTTTGCTGGATTTCAGATGGTATGTTTATTTGTTTCAAAAAGTTAAGAAGTCGAAATTGGTCTGGAGAAAAAAGTCACCCCGAGCCAAAAATTTCCGTCATTTTCTTCGAAACTCGAGACAAACACGCACAGTCGGTCCAAAGGTTGTTCTAGACTAAAGTAAGGCCAGCTAACTGGTCTGATCCTTGTAAAGCTATCAAGACAAAAAAAATTCAATCTTTTGTATCTGATATTGCTTAGAGATTAATATTGACGCAACGCGAGGGTAGCTAAACTGTCCCGTGGCTCTAGAAAAGGACGTGCTTGTCTGACATTTATGGATAAAAGCAGAAATCTTTAGAAACTTTAGTTTGTGATTTTAAACCCATACGAAATTTATTATTATTCTATTCACAAGTAGCAAAACTAGCCAAATATACGAATATTTCTGGTATCAAGTTGGTTTTTCTAATAACAAACTTTATTTGGATGAAATGTTTAAATTACAAAGCGAAATGAAAATTGCAAATTCGTGGGTGCTTAAAATTTTTTGAATCAATTTTTCTAATATCGAATCACGACTCAAAAGTCTTGAACATGGGACAGAACTTGAATATGGCATAGATATTTTATGCACTTCTACAGGGGCGGATCCAGGATTTTCTCGAGGGGGAGATTTTCAAAAAAATGTCGAAATTGTTGACGACCCTTTTTTTTAAATCGGCTTAATTGATTTTCCGAGCTCTCCTAAAGCAGTAAAAAAAACGTTTTGGGGCACTTTTTGCAAAATTTTGACAAAAAAAAGTTGCTTTTTTTCGGCGCGCGCGCTCCCCCTCAAAGTCTCAAACTCGCCTTTAGAAAAATTTTAGGGTCGGCCGGCCAAAAATGGATTTCTTAAAAAGTACCAAAGGAGGGACCCTTTGGGTCGGCAGGGGGTCAAATGCCTCAAGAAAAAGCGTCCGCAAAACTGATCTAAATTATTATCGTAACTTAATTATGAAACGTTGAATCGAAAGAGTAAATAAAGTTTTTGAAAGGCATAAGTTATAGAAATGTAACATTATTAACCTGATTTGCGGTTGGAGAACCAGTATTTACTCAACCAAAAAAATTTAAGTCTGTAAACCAATTTCACACAATTTGCTCGCAACTTATCGTCTAAATTCCGTTATTTCCTGGTCGTCTAATTTGCTTGTCGTCTAATTTACTAAGCCCCGTATTTGGCTAATCAGCTAACCAATGATCAGTTCAAAAGGAGCCTGATATCAATAATAAAAAAATTCTATTCACGTCCCAGGCGCCCTAAAATAATTTATCTCTCCTATTCAATTGAAATTTCTTCTATGGGTCTTTGCTAAAAAAATATTCCAAAATATTCCTGAATTATTTGATCAACAAGAGTTTTCGATTAACCCTATATTTAACAAAGTGACAACAGGAATGCGAGAACTATTGCGATGCTAATACTCCACGTGATTTTGTTTTAGGTTCATTTTTTTAACCATTTACAAGCGTTTTTGGTGGTTAAAAGTCTTAAGCTGTCAGAAAATCAGTATGTTAAACAATAATTTATTTTTTAAAACAAAATGAGCTAAATGCAAAACGATCAGCTCAATGCGAAAAATCATTGCTAGGTCCCTGTACTGGCCCCTGTACGCGTCAAGTGCTGCAAAACCGATTTGCAAATAAAATTGCTTCTGGAACAAGCCCAGTTGTAAAAAAGTCCACTTTTGTTACTTAACAATTTTTAGACACTTGCTTGTTTCAGACAAAGGAAGATCTTCGATCTACTTACCCATCCGTAGAGGGAAATGAGAGTGTAATGTATGACCGCGAATACTGTGTATAGGGCACAGTTGATAGTGAGAGCGATACTCACCTGAAACATCGAAAACTGGATGAAACCAAGACAGCTTTTGCTTAATCAAGCCAACAATTTTAACATTTTTTGTTATTCTTCTATATCAAATACTGGCCTGCAATTGTTAAAAATCTAATTCGGAGCAATGTTTTTTTCTCGTAGCTAACCAAGTCAGCAATTGCCCCTATTAAAAAATTAGTAACTTTGCAAAAATAGCAAAGCGAGTCAGCGCACAAAGTACTGAATTCTGATCTGCTGAAAAACATCACTCTTAACCAAGTGAGCGATCTCCTCTCTAATTTGAATTTGGGAGAACTTGTTCACTTGGTCTCCTATTTACCTTTATAAGGCAGAAAAACTTAATTCACCTTTATAGTGTAGAATGAAATTAATAATTGTGGTTAAGTTCAACTACAGATTTGCAGGGAGTGGAAAAAAATTAAGTTTTTTTAATAATTTTTTTAATTTTTAAGGAAATAAGTATATATTTTTGCCCAATTTGTCATAAAACAAGGCAAAACATTTTTGTGATACAAAATTCTGCCAATTTCGTTCATGCGCGGATAACATGACGTAAAATCAAATAAATCAGAAGTTTTAAAGCAAAAACTGCGTGAATTAGGTTTAGAAGACACAAAATGAAGATTTGTGCACTTAATTTATCAGAATTTTTTTGTCCACCAACAAAAAAAACCATACACGATGAAAACAACAAAAACCATTCACGTGAACAACAACAAAAACCGACAAAAAGCAAGAATAAATGTATGTTTCCTAATTGATATATTTTTGACCAAAACTTGAGTTTTTCGGCTCGTGCTCCCCCTCAAAATCTTTACGAGTCCAAAATCTGCTCTGGAAAGCGAGCAATATGGTGTCTATAGGTCACTGAATCCAGAAGCAAGTCTTTAAACATGTAGCAAAATGTAAATTTGTTTCCGTAGATTCTGCGCACAAATTTTGTCGGCAACGAGCGAATATAGCTAATTGTTCCGGATTCTGCAAATGTAACAGATTCAAGAAATGTAAATAGATTCCGCAATTTTATGTGAATTGCGCCGGCAATTTGCGGAATCCGCTTACAATTTGCGGAATCTGCTTACAATTTGCCGATTCCGCTTACAGTTTGCGGATTCCATTTACAGCTGCGAGTTCCACGACAGCTTAAGTTTAATAAACACATACATTGTTATTTGCTTGTAGGTTCCACAAAATAATGCAGATTTTGCAAATTTTGTTGCGGACTCCACAAATTTTTCTGTGGATTCCGCAAAATTGCTGTTTTTGGAGCAATTTTGAACAATACAGTGTTTTAGCTAATTGTCTGTAAAATCCAAAACAGCAAAGATGATAAAAAATAACAATAATGTGGATTCTGCGACATATCTGTTTTTAACATGTTGCACAATCCGCTTACAATTCACAAAATGCATAATTTGGCCTCGTACTGATCAGCAGATAGTAGTTTTGAGAATTAGTCGCAAATGGTTTTTGCTAAACAGTAGCAAATGGATGAAGGGCCTTAAAAAAGTTTGGCAACTCGAATTCGAGGACATATGTGTTTCAATTTAACTATCTTTTACGATGTCGCTCGAAAATTTTTTTATCACGATTGTTTTATAATTGCTCTTTTTCGCAAAAACGAGAAATATGTTTCAATTTAACTATCTTTTACGATGTCGCTCGAAAAAAAATAATCGCGATTTTTTTATAATTGCTCTTTTTCGCAAAAACGAGAAATATAGTAGGTTTTTAATGTGTCTGATCGTGTATGATTGTATATTATTGACTGTAAAATTTTTGATGTTTTGACCGCATTGTCTGAGTTGGGGTTGCGACTGTTGGCTGTTCGTTGTTTGAGTTGAGCTACCAGGATAGAAGTCAGCACTGCCACCACAACAACACACGGAACTCCCACTTGAAACATGGCGTGTTCAGCCAGCCAACCCATTCGGTCGGTCGTGCAGTCGTTATTGATTATTTTGCCATACAACAGTTTCGGCAACCCCACCAAGCAGAAAAGAATCAGTAGGCCCGCAATAGGGTACCAGGCTACAGCTTGAGTGCAGTTTCTCTTGTACCACACGCTAGTTCTGATCCACACTGCGATTATGCGGTCTATGGATACTAAGACTGCCATGCCATCGGGAATCACCAGGAACAAAAAAGACACGAAGCTTGTGAACTTGCAAGCTCCGTCGGTTCTAATGAACCAGGGCCGATCGCCTAAAAACGAAATCCCCTAAATTATAAACTATTATTTTATCAAGTTTTTTTAACCTAGAAATTGCATTCGAGTTTATCAATTTTTACAGTGTTCCTACTATGTTGCAAAAAGAGTTCGAAAGTCTTGTTAAAGTTATTGGCTCTGTTGACTCTTACCAAATAAAATTTACGTTAACATTGCTCAATGGCTTTGAAATTTGTTTCTAAAGATGATTTGTGGTCAATAAGCTTAAGCAGTTTGTCTGTGAGCAAAAACTATAGGCCCTCCTCCCCTCCCCTCACTTCTCATAAGCTATCAACTTAGTGGTGTACTTATTGCAGTCAGAGAGATGGCAATAGATCCCAATCGTTTCACCACTTCGAACAGCGCCTGAACCCACATGAAAGTCTTTGCAGAGAAATCACCCTCGAGGCCCATCGCAATCAGAACCACTATTGCCTAGAATGAAGACGAAATCTAAATGGTTAAGATGTGATACTATAAGATAACGCGTATACGATACGTACCAATAACTAACGACAAATCACGTAAAAAGTTTAAGCAAAGGAAGGACAGCTCCCAGGTTCAATTTTACTGACCAACCCATAAATTGTTCACGAATATGTTTTTAACTTGCTTGTGTTGACTCCAAATATACATTGAAAGACGTGACAAACGCTTTTTCGTCGTTGATCCTAAAAATCTATTCAAAAATTTAAAACAGTAAAGCCTAAGACGTTGTAAAGTATGTGAGTTTCAAAGACATATCTTAAACAATAAGAGACGGTTGCTGTGCAAGTAGCACATAATGTTCCGACCAAATTTTACAAAATTTTAATTTATTTCTTACAAAATTTTTCTTTCAATTTTTTTGCGCGTGGTGTGATGAAAGACTTACTAGTTAAATTGTCATAAAGGAAAACAGTTGTTTTTTTTTTTCAAAAAGGACTAAAAAAATTTTAAATCTATTTTAGAGAATTATTTTTTGAATTTTTTTTATTGGCGCTAAAAAACTTTCTTTACTAGATTTTTCAGGCTTTGAATAAAAAACATATGGCTAATTTTTTTCCAATGGTCGACGAATTTCAATCTATAAGAAGTCTGCTGAATCGCTTTAATTGCTCAAAATTAGACAAAAAGAAACCTTAAAACGGTTTTCCTCGACAGTAAAGTTTTTTTGGAAATTTTTGAATATCGTTTGAGTCACGACTGAAAGTCTCTTATATGATATATCACTCGGCTCATTCTGATAATCATTTGTGGCAAATGATCTGGTTTTGCGTGGAAAACACAGAAAAAATACTAAACCCACCCGAATACAACATTCTCAATGACCGGAACAAAAAAACTATAAAACTCCCGAGTACAAAGTTCCTTTCCATTTCAATGGTCGGACAAAAAATTAGAATAATACGTTGGCTATATGATATCAAAACCAGATCAAAAAATATTTTGTATCGCAAGGTTAAGTTTTGAGTATGGTGACTTGCTTGACAGTAATTTTTTCCGACCGAAGAAAATCGTCATCGGATATGTTTCATTTTTGTTTTCAACTTTTAGAACAATTTTCTATGCAATATCAGGAAACACAATAATAATGGATGGGAGTCCTATGATAGATGATAGATCATGTAAAAGCCGTTTCGGTAGTCTTTCGACAACTTTTCTATAAGTTTACGAACAATATTCTCAAAATTGAGAGCAAATGGTTTAAAGTTTTTGGTTGTATCCGAATTTGAGCAGGTAAAGCAAGCTAATAAGGCTTGCAAAAAAAAGCGTAATTTAAGCGATCAAAAAACTTTTAGTATTCCCAAAAACTTTTATATTTTCCTGCCTTTTAAAAAAAATAACTTTCAACAAAAAAATCAAAAAAATCTGCAAAAAATCATAAATATGTCTGTTTTCTTTTTCGTTTTGTTATTTAGTTTTTGACACCAAAATGTTTTTGGTCTTTTACTCGTAATGATTTTGAAAAGCGTTTTATTGGTTTTTTTCTGTGGTGGTTGCATGATTTGTTTTCAAGTTTGTTGTCTGTCTTTGAAACACACGGACAGCACTATTAAAGTAAGAAATATGAAAAAGTAATATATTCTAGTTTTTCTTCAAATTTGTGTCATTTCTGTAAAATGGTGACTAGAAAATTAAAAAACGCGTAGAAAAACACTAAATTGGGCATAACTGATAACCCTGGCAAATGACATAGTGTGTTAAAGAAGAAAATAAAAAAAAATTAAATTTAAACTTCTTTTTGGGATTTTGTAATTTCTAATTGAGAAAAAATTCCTAATGCCGAAGAAGCGCTAAATGAAGCTTCTTAAAATTAGGAGAAAAACTCAAATGTCCCATGTGGAGAAAAAGTCCCATGTGGATCAGAAAATAGCCACAATGTCGTACAATTAAACCCTGACGAAGATAAATACTATCTACTCACACCGTACCCTACACTAATCCAACCACTGAAAAAATTTTCACCAGAAAGTAACCCAAACACTGATTTACAATCAATTGGAATATACTCCAAATCTGATATACTACATCACATTAGAACACACAAATTTCAGGAATTATTAACACAAATGGACACAATACAACGACAATCAATAGACCAAAATTTAAGAAAACTTGCCAAAACCGCAGGATTTGCAGACATCTACACACAAAATTACAGCGGATATTTTAAGGATATTAAAGATTACATATATCTAAACGGTGAAAAATACAGACCCCAAGATATTTCACCTGTAAATATTTTTAGTTTTGTAACACTGAAAAACGAAATTCTCGCCTTTCTAGGATGGCTCTATTACATCTTAGAAAAATTGACTATTTTATACGCTATGTTTAATTTTTTTGAATTTCTTTTCTCGCTACTAAAAGGAATCTATAATACATGTGCTATACACACTCAAGTAAACCGCCAAGCAAGCGTAGCACGTATATTATTTGCAGGACTTTTCGGAATATTTTCATCATCAATAAATAAAATACTTTTAGACGCACAAATCAAAGAATATAACACAAAATTAGCCACATCACCAAATACATACGACGAAGAATATAATAATGTAGACACAGCACCTACAGCACCACAAATACCAACCCTACCACAAAATCACCCACTATCATTAGTTCCCCGAAATTTTCGAAACTTAGCAATTACACATAACCCAAACTTTAGACAAAATTCAACACGAAGCCCCATCCAACACAACGACAAATCATTCACAAAATGATAATACATATGAACAAATTATAGAACAGCCCCATACCACCACTTTTCAGTCTCTACATAATCATTTTTTTAACCCACGATGAGCCGACAAATTGGAGCCCTCCATCGCTCAAATTCCCACCCAGCCAACCTTCAAAACCCCACCCAGTTATTTCACTTTTCGCTTTCCCGCCACCCGATTTCCCAGTTATTAATATACCATCAAGCACGAATTCAGACACTAATTCAGATATTTCAGTTTTTCATACTATCTCATAATTTAACAACTCCGACATCGAAACTCCCGACGAATTTGCCAACTCCGAACCATCTCCCTCTACCCATACCCAGACCAACCCCTCAGTTTTTTCACAACCCCCCTTTCAACCTATCCAAACCAGTCATCCACTCCCATCCCTTTCCACTCCCTCTTATGCTTCCCAAGTAACCCCAACCTATTCCCCATTCACTTCTGAAAGATCCAACAATAACTCCCCAGATACTGTCCAAATCTCCGAAGAGCTAGATAATTTTATCACACTACAACAACAATTAATATACCCACACACTCTTAACATTCACTAATTGTCATCCACAGCAACATCATCAAATCCACCAACGCCTACACCGCTGTCAGATTATACCCCATCATTAGCTCAATCATCCACATCAACTGAAACATCCACTAGTACTAACCGAGCTTATCGCACTTTCAAACGAAAATTCCCAAATCACCCATTCACAGTCAAACCCGGAACAGCCAAAGAGTATATAAATCACCCAGAACACACGAATACAAGGAACTTCCTTCAAATCACCTTACCCTCATTTCCACAATACACCTTATATACATCTACCACCACTACTAATGACACAAGAAATTTTGTTGATGAGCACGTTTTAATGCCAACACTCCCTTGGACCGCGTATTATCACTATACTAACCCTCTTTCTATAACACTTAATAATACACATGAAGATAATGGAAGAAGCAAAAATATACAGTATAGACTCACAACACCACTAACACCTCGACAATTTACATATGTTGGATTTAAAAAATTATTAAAAACATTAACTGCACCCCGAGCTAGCGATTTCACAATCGAATATCACGATCACAACATCATACGCCCTAACAAAGATCAATTTTTAGATGACGACCGCTTTGCAAACCCACAACTAACAGAAAAATTTTTTATTCAAACACCATACCTTTTCACACTTAATATATTTGATAAAAAGCATGATCATATATAATTTCTGAAGCACTCAGTGACACCCAAGCATACGAAAGCTTCTATGATAAATTTCAGTTATTTTCACTAACCTTTCACTTTCTTTCACCACAGGAACGCGATTTGCACTGTTCCCATGACATCATGTTACGCACTAAGCAAACCTATACATACACTTATTATCGTTTTATACAAAATCATTTTGATTTACACACACCATCACGACAACCCCACCTTCGTTATCAGTTTATTAACTCGAAATACACATCACAATTTTTTCTCAATTTCACATAATGCATAAAAAATACTAACCTCCACGGCATCCTCCGTAACTACGATCCCATTACCCAAATGTATATATTCTGTCCCATCACGAAGACCTTCCAAGATGAAGAATCAAGCCCTTTCATTATCTCGCATGAATTTATACAACCTATTGAAATCCCCATATTAGAAATTATTCACAATACTAAATATAATCACAAACTTTACAACACCTAATCCAAAACACACCTCATGAGTTCGCAGTAGGCACCGAAGAACTAAACACCATCAACGCACTTCAATTGCTTTGGCCACTGCTACAAACTAAAAATGACATTCGCATACTAGCTAAAATATTAACAACATCCAAATTAATTCAAGAAATCTTCCCCCATGGCTTTTTTCCCGACGACTAAGGTAAGTATAATTACAATATGTTCAATTAATAAATTCAAATTGTACTAACCATTTTCTATAAATGTTTAAATGTTTTTTTAGTCTTCTCAACACCATCATGTACAAAAACAGAAAAAGAAAAATAAAAATACAAACTTGTTAAATTATAATACAAAAGTAGTAATCTCTTTTGCTAAAACTTATTTGCTAAAACTACCTTACCTTACTAAACTTTTCGCAATAAATAATGTAGTAAAATTAATAGCCAATGTAGTAATTTAATCTATAAATTATTTCCCCAAGAAGCAGTAAAATTAAATACGATGAAAATTTATAATTTAAAATTTCCCCCAAATGCAGTAAATTTCAAATTCTCAAGCAATAAATTCATAAAAATAGAAAGCAGTACTTACTTTTTCTATGTTTCAACTCATTCGCACAAGAATTCTATCCACACTCGCACAGCTCGCCCACAAAGAATTGTTTAAAATAATGATTTTATGTTTTCAATAACAACAACTCCAATTAACGATAACAAGTTTCCAACTTTTCTTTAACCCGGTTGGAATGGAGTTATACACTAAATCAAACTGACTAACGCAGCTTTACTAAACACAACAAATCATAAAATAACAGCATGACTAAGAAAAGAAAACCAACGGTACCCAAATCAGATTAACCCAGTTTAAAACTGGATAATTTATTCTTTTAAAGATTATTACAAAGTCTAAGAAAATAATAATAAAACACAAAAAAGTCGAAAGACAAACCCAAACCAAAAACAATTTGATTTTTGAAAAAAGGACACAACCAAAAGTAACATAAGAAAGACCAGAAAAAACCAACATAAAAGGTTATCACAAAACAGGACCCCTCAAAGAAACAGCACGAAAACATACTCCCACTCCTGGCCCAATTTTACTCCCACTCCTGGCCTAACCCACCAGAGAGGACGTCCTGAGCATGCTCTATAGCCGGCCTAACCCACCGCGCTACATCCACGCTTTGTGACCACACTTCTATATTAATAAGAGGTACTCAAGGGTGAGTAACTCTTCAAATTAACCGAACTAAAACAAAAAGCTTTTGTGAAAACAACTAACCAAAATCATAATTAAAACACTGAACTAATAAAAATTTTATAAAATGTAAATCATACCTTGCAGTATATAGATCAACACACAACAACAAAGACGAACATCCAAAGACAAAATGATCCCATTACACTCGAACAAGAATGGCTAAACACAACCGATATGCCGTCCACAATCACAACTCAAAGGATTTAGAGTACGACTTGACTTCGCAGAACTAGACCACTGACCCCCTCGATGTTCAAGTATACGTACAGATCCGAGTTACAAGGCATCCCTTCCACACACAATCTCCACGCCATTCCCCAACGAGGCTGAACACAAAACAGTTCTCCACAACTGCAAACAAAACTGACATAGCAAAGCATTTTGGATTTTGGAATCTGAACGATTTCATTGGGGATCGCATTCGTCGTCAAATGACAAGAAGATAACTTCCTAACCATCAATCCTGCTTTCTGGAACGTTTCTCTTGAAGAGAAATTATGTCGACGATTCTAGTTTCCTGGACCTCTCTTCTCCAAGGAACACGAATAAGAAAATGATGTTCGCCAAATACCAACGTTCATCATCCATCCTTCAATTGCGGAATAAAAGACATAAAACTCAAAAATTCTGTGAACCCCGGATGGGTGGAACCTGATCTAAACTATATTTCATTATTTATAAATTAGATATTTTACCACTGTAAAATATTTAATATTAATCAATCACCATCCATGCAACTAACAACCCACTTATTTGTAAGTGCTGAAATTACTTGTAATTTCAGCACCAGAGAGATTTGAATTTAACTTAGAAATTAGTTGCCTCTCCTCAAGATCTTCAGCAGCCGCAATAAAACCAGTATACTCTAGATCTATTGAGCCTAGCAGAGACTAGTTAAACAACCTGAGACTAGTAGATATAAGAGTAAGATTAGGATCGGTATTAGACTAAGAAGTTGCACGAATCTATCCGGCCGAAAAGATAGCGTAACGAGCAGACGGTGTACCCTATCCGAAATTACTCTATGAGTTATACGACCAGCATATAAATCAATGTCAATGATTATTTGCAATAATTGATTTTGTGTTGAAAAAAAAACAAAAAAGAAGAAAATTTAAATCACAACCGAATACGAAATTTTTTCTTCATTTTCAATGGTCGGAACAAAAATTTGCAAACTCTTTTTGCATTAATATAAAAAATTAACGGAAACAGTTTCAACAGCTTCATTTTGCCTGCACACGAAGCGGAGAACAAAAAGGCCCATGTAAAAATCCCCCCTTGGAGAGAATTCGTTAATATGCTGGCAAATATTATCGAAACAGTTATATTTTAGATCAAATTGGTCTCGCCATATCAAGTTGACGGGCTGACAATTTGCAAGAAAGTTTTGTACAATTAGAATATTGTTCTTGTAGCACAAAGAAGTTCGAATTCATAAGAGAAGACATCTATGTGAGTGCTAACGAGCACTTTAAATTTTTTGACTGGAGGATGAAAGCGTGAGAGATTGTAAAAACTGTGTCGCGCTTTTCTATGTGAGCTGTTTCAAAAACCCCATCTAAGTCAACTCATTTGGCTAAATCTGTACCGCTGCTGGTGATTTATGGAACAAAAGTTCCGTTTTTGAGGTTTTTGAAGAGCAGTTTGACGGAACGCGCGTTCTATTCCCAAAACTTGCTATACAATGAAACCTTAGAATTTTTTGGGTTGGCCTGAAAAAGTTAGGTAAAAAAGAAACAAGAGTCGGACCAAAAAATTTTGGCAGTCAAGGGCATTGCCAAAAATGAGAGACTTAACTAGATATAACTTCTTATTGGCAACGCCAAAATAACTGGAACATAAGATGGCTGCATAAAATGATTACCTGGGAGAACACTGAGATGGCAGATATCAAACCATTGATTGCTACGCCTATCACCTTGGTGAAGGATTCGGGCTCTGAGGCCTCTGTCTCTGGGTCAATTTTCATTTCTAGATGATCAAAATTAGTGAAATTATCTAGAAGTATTTCCATTTTACCTCGTTTTGGCAACTCGTTTTTAAAATTTCAAATTGGTGACCGATTAAATTTTATAGTTGTAACAGACTAGTTAGATCAAATAAAGTTAAAGATACAAAATGGTGGATAAATACAGGCGGCATCTTTTGTGTTTTTGTTTTCGTGGGAAAATTTTTAGACACCTCGACTCTCGAGTACGCCGAGAGTTTACTTCTTTTATAAACTTTACAAAGAACGCCCGGAAAAATAACAATTAAAGACAGTAAGTAAAAAAACTCACCGTCAATGGTTTGAAAGTTTTTTTCTTCAACTGAAAAGAATGAAGCAGACAAAACATCGATTGTCCGAAAAGGTTTTTGTTCTTAACAATTTGGTTTCCACCACGGCAGACTACGTTCGCCAATTATAGCCAAAAAACTAAGCTATATGTTGATAATATGATGATAAATGAAAATATACCCCTCCTAAATTATGAAAAATGAAAACAAAAATTTGGGACACTTAGAATTATTAGAAAATGCAATATTCATTATGAGACTTGTAAAAACGAAGCATTTTAATTTATTTTAGCTACAAACCGAGTTGCATTTTTGCCTTATGCTAATGTGGGGGATTTTAAAACAAACACGGGGGTATTTTGTCCTAGGGGATTTGGTCCTATGGGTGACTTAGTCCTGGAGTGGGGGGGGGGGTTACCGTTCAGGATACCGCCTTGCATTTGTGAGTAAAATCAGTCCAACTTTGAAAGAAAAACTTTCATTTCCAGTTTTTTATCATTTAAGGGGGTATAATCGAAAAGACCCGTCAGCTTGTCTAGATATTCAGTCCATACCTTAAATCTAATTTATTGAAATCTTAACGCATTATATTAAATGTCATCGCACATGCTATCATACTGCCGATGCAGACTCTTCATTCAACACTTGCGATGAGAATGGATTTTTTTTCTAAAAAAGATAAAAACTGTGGTAAATTAAAATGTACCTAATCATATAAAACCATAAAACATCAATGTTTCAGTTCGCGCACAAAATATGCATGGTCAATTTCCAAATTTGTATAAAAAAACAGCCTGGATTACGTTGAAGACAAAAATGTATTTTTTTTTTCGAAAATTTTTTTTGAGCTTAAAATATGAGCATCATGAGAGCTACCAAAAAAGACATTTTACTTGCTGAATTGAATAATGGAAGCAAGCCCACAATTAGTTGGCATATCAGAATCAATATATGAGATAGTTTTTCATATTCCAAACAAGCTACTAAAAAGAGTTTTTGCCGACTTTTGAAATTTTTATTTGCTGAATTTGTTTAGCAGCCATGTACAATTTTTAACCTAGGGGGAGTTCGGTAGTCACACACGCACACATACAAACAGTGACCCAAACACACGCACATGAACACATATACACACAGACACATTAACACTCAAGTTGTTTTCAACTACAAAATCAGAAGAGTCAGACTTGGTTTAGCAGAAGCATTCATTTCTTTACTATTTTCGTTTTTACATATCAATCTATCAGTACGACGTTTCGATACACGGTTGCTCAACCGAAACTAGTTTCAATCAAGAGGGTACTTGAAATGAAATTAACCAGTGTATTTCAATTAATTTTGTACGAATCTTCGCAGTCAAACCATTCTTAAAATCAAGCAGTATAAACATTTCGAACCTTAAGAAATTCAACCGGACTCCAAGAATATCCTCAATTTTTGCTATTTTTAGTCATTATTGCGGTACAAAAGTTAAACCAAAGCTCCAAAATAAATGGAATAAATTTCACTCTTGATTTACTTCTTCAAATAATGTTCTTGGTAGTTAAAAACAATTCAATAGCTTGGTACATAGGATTTTAGGATGCTATATGATTGATGAGAAAGAATCTTTTGACATAACCTTTAAAAGCAAGTATTTGGAGCAAAAACTTATTTATGGTAAGCCACCCTTTTTAAAAGATTTTTTGATCAAGAGCTGTTAACTTATCTTGTTTTTGCGTTTTTGTTAGGGTATAGTAGGCTAAAATTTCCCTAGAACCTATTCATTGGTTTTGCTGAGTGAACAGCTTAGTTGGATTTCCTTTGTTGAAAAACTTCTTATCTCAAAACCTGTGACGCACAAACAGTATATCCATTAAGTTCAAAAAATCGAAATAAAAAACTTACGAAAACCGAAACTTTCAGCAGTGATGTTTTGCGACTAAATTATTAGGTTTTTCCTTGCAAATAAATATAATCTGATTCCTTATAACCACAACAGCCTTAAATTAATGAAGAGCTTGAAAAATGCAGCAAAATATCAGCAACAAAACAATACTAAGCCGATCAGGTTATTCATGAAATTAGTTATAATTTTTTAACTTCCAAGACATTGCTGCCAGCATCGCAAAATTGATTGCCTGTGATTGGCTTTAGACACATTCATTTTGTTAGACTGGAGAACCTACTACTTACCTTACTACTTTGGGGCGAAAAAGTGCCATAAGGTAAAACAGTCCGTTGAAAATCAGTTATCTAAAATTTCAATCGTTGTTGAGATTGCATAAGCTGGCATTTTCAGACCCGGACAATATTGGTAAGATTTTGAAATCAACATTTGATTATTTGCTTCATGGTAGCTCTGAATATTTTTTTGATCTATGTAGTTCAATTCGAAATAAACAGGCTTTTTAGAGAGTATAAACCTGAATTTGCGCGTAATTCTGTTCGCCTGTGTATAACATGATACATTAGCAGAGTTGAAAAAAAATCTAGCAATGATAATGCAGAGTTATTGCATGCAAATTTTCGATCAACCATTTTTCGAAGTTTTTTTAGTTGCACGCGATTTCAAATTGGTTTGGAGTTTATTCATTTTTTGATCAAGGATCGGGCAATGTCAATGGTGACAAACTAATTAATATTAATTGGAGCTCACGGTAAGAACGATTGAAAGCTGATATTTTCCAAATACGCCGTTAACATTGAATAAACCAAGATCAATATTTCCTGAGGTGTCAGTTTTGGCAGCGAGTTTTTTTCTGATAGGAAATCTGGGGTCGATTTTCGCGGAGAAGCGAAATTAGTTTAATTGCGTGCCGAAAGAAGACAGAAATATGAATTCACTCATCATCAGTTTTCTCAGTTGACCAAACACGGTTAGCCAAAAGGAGGACGATTTTGTATACAAAGTTTTGATAAAGACAAAATCACGAAAAAATTATCTGATAGCGATTATCATGATGTACGATATCTGAAACCAAAATCTAACTTTGCAGAAAATTTATCAATAACGCAGAATTTGCTTTCGGGGACTTGCAACAGAAACTTCTACCAATGAATCTCGAAATGCAATTTTTTTAGAACGTCAAAGTTAAGTTGAAATTATATGATATTTGAATTTTTACTTCCCAATTCACTTTTTCCAACCCCTGATTTTGATCCAAACTCCGCTTTTGTATATAACAACTCAAAACAAGGAATTTTATATTTTATATGCCGGAAATTATAGCGATGTTTCCTAGCCTTTGTTAAATAATAATCGCATTCATGAAATTAATGAGCTTTTCACAAATATCGTCTATTAGAGAAAGAAAAATCTTCAACTACTGCTTTATATAATCAAGAAACAAGTCCATGAGTCAAATCGAAAGCAAGTCTTTCTTTTTTTGCTTCATGAGTCATGATAGGACCTCCAGCTTCATCCTCGAGAGCAACTTTGTCTAACTCTTCTCTGAAAACTTCAGTCACTCTCTCCAATCCTAATTTCTCTTTGGCCGAAATTTTCAGAATTGTTTTGAATTCCGGAAAAGGAAAAGGCTCGTATTGCTTTATGCTATCTGGGACGTGTGCTTGTTGCAATGATTGCATGATGTGGTCGGCTTTTGATTCGCTTTCTTTGTTTTCCACTTTGTTCAGAAGTAGAACAGCTGGTTTGTACAACAGAGTTGAATCGTACAGTTCCAGTTCTTTTATCAATAGAAGGAGTGTTTCGTAGCCCGACCTAGAATTATAAACATAGCCGAGAGAATTGGAAAAGAGTCGGTGTACTCAAGAAAACCGAAAAACGACTGATTATTTTTCAAGGATTTTCAACTAAACATTTATGCCCTTTAAGTATTCCTTAATAGTTCTTTATTCCGATGGTCAATCTGAAAACTAAAATCCACTTTTGAAACAAAGCATTATTTCGTATCACTTGAACTGTGACACTGGAAAGCTATGTTTCCGTTTCATTTAGCAAATGAATTTGAATTTAGCGTAAAAAATCATGCCAAACCGAGATTAAGTAAAATTTGAGCAACAAATCGAATAAATTTGAGCACTCGAAAGTCATTATGACCATTCTATTGAGACTCTCAAGTAAAATAAGTACCTAGAGATGCCATCACTTTAAAGTACAGAACGCTTCATTTTTCATCTTTTAACCGCATAAATCAACTTTTGATTTTTTCCAGCTACATTTTCCCAGAGCCATTCGTACAGTTTTTGTACCAGAAAAAAAAATTAACCTTCACGTGATGTTTACCGCATGTGAAGGAAATGGGCAGGACTTTTTATGAAAAACTTCAGTTTGGGATCTCCAAAAATTGCGTGAAAAAAAAACTAACAAAAAATCTTCAAGACCTTTATGAGTGTCTTCACTACGTTCATTGACACTTAATGAAAAAACACAGCCAACAGCAAACCACACATTGATCCATAAAATGGGTGCCCATGTGAGGCAGGGGGAGATAAAAAAGATAAATTGTAAACATAGCCAACTGACAGTTGAAAAAGTGCTATGAACGCAAGCAATCTTTTTGAACTTCAAAAACATTTTGCGATTGATAAAACGAACCCAATTTGAGAAATCTGGATCAATAAGTAAATTTTTATTTCAGCTGAGAAATCTGAACATAAAAATCCACTTTCGAAAATAGAAGTCGATCACTTTTTCGTGACCTGTACTGTTCGATAGTGGAGCTTGCCTTCATTTTGAGTCAACTTAACTGCGCTGAACTTAATGAGTGTCAATACTCAACTTCGTGAAGAAATCGGGTTTATGTATAATAAAAAGGAAATTTCATTTGTCTATAAGTTTACGCATAATTACAAATTTGGCAAAAGTGATCTAGTTTATAAAGTTTTTCAACAAATTTTTTCGAAAACAGTAAAAATGTTGTTAAAAAAAACAGAAACAAAATGGAATATATTTTGTTAACTGCTATCAGAGGTTGCAAATATATCCTGGAAATATGGCCTTCTAATTATTTATAATTTTCTAGAAATCGTACAATTTATGAAATTTAGCGGTTTTTCAAACAACTTGAAACTGCAAAAGTCGTATTTTGCGAACGTCGAATTCTGAAAATAGCTAGGTTGTAAGTTAAGATTACTCTTTAGATCAAATTTTAAAATAATTGAGAATTCGAAATTTTTCAAAAAAAAACTAGTTTTAAATCGTTGTTTCAAATGTTTTCAACTAAACCTATATACATGACGAGATGATCCGATAGTGCAGCCTTAAACTAGCCTTGACAATGGATAAATTTGGGACTTTCCTTAACATAAGTATTTCAATATTTGTACACAGGCGAAGCAGCGCTTCGCAAATACTAGCAAGAAAACTTCAAAAAAGCAGCTCTGTTAAGTGAAATAGGAAAAAGTAAAAATAAGCCTCAAATTAGTTTAGAAAAATTGCTACACCACGGATTCGAACCGACGACTTCGAGATTAGGAATCTCACAACTTTCTTACTCGTCTACGTACGCTTATCAATCGGCAAACAGCAGCCACAAATAAAGCAGATAACAGATGCTAGGAATTTTCCAATGCTACAGACCGTGATTATAACAGATGATGTTGTATAAAAACCGATTTCGGAGAAATAAATCCTTTCTTTGTGTCTTTCTAATTTAAAAAACATCAAAAGCCAAACAACGAAAAATCAAAAATGAGCATCGTGAACAAATTTTAAAACATTTCCCTAAAACACAAACAAAAAATAATCAAGACCTATCTGAGAGTACCCACTACGTTCATTATTCTTAAAAAGGGTGCGTGTTTACTCCGATGACCAAATACTACACACCTTCTGGGCGAAGTCTGGTTCAACTGGAAACCCTCTACGTCTGCCACATATGCCAGCATCTTAGTCCGCTCCACATGTTTGAGAAAGCGGTGACCGAGGCCTATATTTTCACTCGCCCCCTCAATCAGTCCAGGGGTGTCTGCCACTGAGATCTGCCGCAGGTCTCCGTACCTCACGTGGCCTACATTGGGGTGGAGGGTAGTGAACGGGAAAGCGGTGATGGATGGCTTCGCTTCCGATATACGGGCTAAAAACAAACAAGCTACTCAGCCCATATACACCACACGCGGTTATTATATGTTCTACAATTAAAAGGAACAAAAACCATCAAACGCGAAAAACTAAATGATTCAGAGAAAAACTCATCTGCAAAGTGCACTATGGATAGAAAAAAAACTTGCAACAAAAACAGTTGCAAGTTTCATTTTTGTGCACTAACTTTACTTTGGGAAATTCAGAACTTCCCCCATTTTATATCGATAATTAGTTTTTCATTTTTAAATAATGTTCACCCCTATTTGGGTGCTGACAAAAGTGTAAAATTTGGCTGCGAAATTTCGCTAAATCTATGGGTCTCTGAAGCATTATTTTTTCTTCTTTCTGTTTCAAGAGCAAATAGGTGATTGTAAGGTTGTAGTGGTTGTTTTTTGCGCTATCCGGCCTCTGAGTTTGACTTGACGTATAACGAAGTTTTCCTCAAAAAATAATGATGGTTTTTCTTTTTGATTTTATAATTTTTTTCTCCTTGTGATTTATTGCTTGTTTCAATTGTTGTGCAGATAATGGCAACACGATTGGATTTGTGATTGTCTTATTGCTATTCGTTCTCTAGGATCAGCCACTTTTTCGAATTTTTAAAAAACTTTGAAATACATAATTTATTTAAGTTTTAATATTATAAGTATTACTTTTTTTAATATGTATCTTTGATTCGTTAAATAGATTTGACTGTAATGATGCTCAAGAGTAGGCTCCAAAGGAGCATCATGTATGCCTTTCGCTTATCCTCTCCAGGATTTTTTTTTCTTTTCATAAATTTAACGTAAATTGATTTTGTTGAATTAATGAAAGTTTTTGTGTATTGTATTGTTCGATGCACGATGTAATTATATAATGGAGAAATAAATTCTTTCTTTCTTTCTAGTTGATGGATAATTACCCTAATTCTTGCGATAAACTTAATAAATAACTCTTTCAGTTTGCTAAGTTGATGTTCCTGAGTAATTGACCGAAAAAGCGAGGCAGCCCTTTGGGGTTTCAGAGTTTAGGTTAGCATGGCTAATTATGTGCGCAAACATTGCGACCAGGCTTACATTATAAACAAATTGTATATCCAAAATCATTGCAACACAGGATGTAATTTGCCACAAAATTTTCAACACAGAGGCAAAGCTTCGCTTCGCAAACACAAACAAGAACACAATAAAAAGCAGCTATAGAAAGCGCAATAAGAAAAAATAAGCCTCGAATTAGCAAAAATTTGGCTAAGTCTAGGATTCCATCTACAACCTACTGCAATCAAGAGATTTTGAGTCTCAAATCACTCAGCAGCGCACGCTTAACCACCGGCAAACACTAGTCACGAATGAAGCAGCTACATAGCTAATAAACTGCCAATGCCATTCAGCAAAAATGGCACCAAATACAAATAGACACACATTTGCTAGTAATAAGTTGGAATGTAACAAACTGATGGTATGCACACTAACTTTGCATGTAACAAACCGCAAAGCCTAAAGCTACATTATGCATAAATTATGCATTTCAAAAAATTGTAATCATGGACAAAACAATATTAAACAAATGAAAAACAGAAAACTGGATAAAAACTTTCTCCTTGCCACCTTTTGACACATCCAAACCTCTCCAATATTATTGAGAAACATCTGCTATTCGATCGAACTCAGTTCACAAAAGAAAATCTACAGTGTCGACTTGGATGAAATTAATCAACTGATCTCGCACAATTTATAGAAGTCAAACAATGATTCTATCATCCTCTGCCTTTTAGCTGCATTTGACAGAGTGAATCCCTAATTATTACTTCAAATCATTGAAAGCGAAGCAAAAAACTTTGATAACGATGGTATACGTAATTTAAACGACGGGGTAGATTTTACATCATACACATTTTATACAACAAATCATAAACGTTTCCTCTGAGACCTTAAGCGTTGACACTGATGTTCCCCAAGGACCTCTATTGGATCCTATTTTAATCTCTCTTTACCTAGCTGAGCTGGATTTTTTTCTTGAAAAATGAATTGGCGTATCACATAGGAGCGGATTTTTGAAAATATCAATTTTAATTTCAATAACTTTAAAAAAATACATCCCGAAAATTGAAGCAAATTAAAGCTTGTTAAATACCTTTTGGTTCCATTCATGAAAAAATGATCGAACGCAAGGTAAAAACTCGCTACACTTTTAGTTTTATTACCCCAAGAAAACTTTTTAAAAATTAATGTCGCATACATTCTGAATTTCCTGAACGATCATGTCATAGGAATCGCCGATCTTTTCTTTTTTTTCGAATGCAAGAGATGGCAGCAATTTTACAGCCAGCGCTAAATCATGATTCGTTTCGTAGGTCACTTTCAGACCCAATTCATTAATTTTTCTCATGTAACTATGGGAGAGATGGAAAAAACAACCCGATAAATGTGCTTCGGGGAATGTTTTTTTGGAAGGACTGAAGAGCAGCTTGCTCAAAATCTAACAGTTGGGTGCTAAATCAATTAACGCCTGCAAGAAATGATTGTAGGTTTTTTCGGTTTTGTTAGGAAGGAAGGCGTAAATGCAAGCTGGCGCAATGCCAGATACACTAACATGAATTGAATATAGCTGATAGAACATTTTTGGAGTAATTTTAAAAGTTCCATCGGCTAACCAGAAAGATGACTTCTCCAGAACTCTCTTCTCCAGGGTCGCCGCACAAAATGATTCGCTCATGATCATTTGATCCACTGTCATAACGGAAAAACTTTTCAAAAATTTCAGGGATCTCGAAATTTCGCGCAACGGGGTGGGCGGCATATTTACATCTAGCTGCCTACAAGTGCGCGCAGCCGTTCGGATCAGTTTGTCTTTACTTGGGAGGGCAAACTGAGTGGCCAATTCGTTTGTAATTGGCAAAACCGCACTGGCAACTGCAACAGTCGGGGTAAATCTCTCGCCGAGATCTTTTATATGCTTAATGACATTTTGGGCCTCCGATTTTCCCGCTGAAATGTCGTGGTTATGCTCTCCCAGCGTTTCGATTAATTCTTTATTTTCAGTAATGGCAGTTGCTCGACATTTATGTGTTTGATATTTTGAGCAAATCTAGTTTTCTGTAAACTTATTTTTTCACTTGAAAGAAAATTTGTGGCCGGACGCTATAAGCATTGGCTTGTTTTTAGATAAAACTGTGAACTCGAAAGAAGACTCAATCATAATGTGTTTATTGTGTTTGCGTTTGTTTATCACTAGAGTAAAGTATAAAGTGACTGTCAGAATTTCATTTTTGTCAGAATATTTACGTCAAATTTTTATGAATTAGCACAAGCTGTTTTTTTTAGTAATCATAATAGTTAAGCGAAAAGTCGAATTGAAAATAAATTACAAACTTGTTGATAAGTGTCTTAAGTAAATTAGGAAGCCTCCTTTTAGCATGTATAACTAAGATAAACCAAGTTTTTCATTATAGTGCGTGCTTTAATTGCAGAATTAACTTTGGTGTGATAAGAGTTAAGATAAGGAATTCATACAGCATTAATTTCAATAGTGAAATGACTAGGTGTTAAAATGTACTGTGTTAAACTGGAAAATAGGAGTTATATTGTTGTCGATTTAAATTGTTTAGTAGTGAAATGACTAAGTGTTAAAATGTACGGTGTTAAATTGTATGTCATTAAATTGTAGGACACCATGAAGTCCAATTAGGAAAAAATATGGAAACAATATTTTAAAAATCAATTCAATTTTATCCGAGAAAATGTTTGAAAGCTTTGCAATATAATACCAGTAGAAGACTTGTACATAATGCGTTTTCTTTTAATTTTTTAAATAAACTAAAAGAAAAATTACAAAATCCGAGAGCAGGGGCGTGTCTAAGATTTTCTCTTGGGAGAGGGGATTTTCAAAAAAATGTCGAGAAGTTTGTCGGCATTTTTAAGTCGACCTTTTTTTCCTTCCACTATAAAGGCCCCATTTTGACCAAATTTTTTGAAACAGGCCAAAAAATTTTTGAAACAGGCCAAAAAAGGTTTTTAGGCCAAAAAAAGTTTTTCTCTAAATGAAAATTCGGTCACAGTGGCGACACCACTGAGTTCAAGATAAGGTAGACAAAGAAACTTGGAGTGAGTAAATAATTATGGATCAGATTTATCTCAAATGCTGATCAATAATGACATCTTGACCCCACATATTTGCGTTTTCGCCAGAAAACATCTAAAAAATGAACCCTTTCGACAATTAAAACCTTTAAAAATGAGTTTAAAAAACTGACCAGAAAAATTAAAATCTGAAAAAATGAGTCATCTCATCTCATCTGCTATAACATTCAATTTTATTTTTCAAAAATGTAAATTTTTTCAATTTTCACATCTAACTTACAGAGTAGAGTTGATTTGCCTGCATTGGGAAATCCGACCAGTCCGACGTCTGCGATCAGTCTGAGGTAGAGTTTGAAGCTGCCGAAGGATCCCTTGCTGGACTTGAACTCATTCTTCGGACTGCCTCCTTCGCCCCCTCTGGCCACTTGCACCATGTCTCCCTCTCGGTCAAGGTCAATCAGGGGCTTACCTGCAGACAACAGAACATACTCTTCACACCAGCTTTGAAAGATAATTTTAGTATTTACTATTTGCGAGTGATAGTATTTACTTTTTGCACGTAGATCTCTGACTTAATTGGCTATGATAGCGAAGGTGAACTTCCTGCGCATCCGATTTTCAAATAGAAAAGAGGGTCGCGCACCAGAATTACCTGTGCTCTTTCCTTGAGGCAACATTTCCCAGTCAAAACAAAGAAATTAGTTTTTCGCAGAAGTATCAGCTACAGTTCTCCTAGAACAGCTCGTAAGTCAACCGATCCCTTCGCTAATCCATGATTTCAATTCTCAAAATTTGAAACAAGTTCCATTCACACTGGGCATTTATCTTATCTTCATTTAATGAAATGATTCTTCTTCGAGTGATTTTATGACCTGACGAAAAATCTTGATAAAACTGAAGCGTACCAACTTATCATCATTTCATCGCATACCTTTCATGTCGCATACAGATGTTCCAAGTGGCACTTTGACAGTGAGGTCTTGCCCCCTCTCTCCCTTGATACTCCTCTTCTGACTCGACACCCCGTCCTCTCCCTTCAGCTTCAACACACTCCAACTCCCACCACCACCACGTGCACTAGGCTGCAAGTCACTCATCCTGAAAAAAAAACAATTCACATGTGTGGGGGTATCCGGTCGACACTCTGAATATTTCATTTTTATAATTTCAAAATTTCTTTAAAACCTACTCTTACAAGTACTCAAGTAATACCAATAAAATATACGCTCGGGTCAAAGACTTCGGCCGGAATTTTTTGTCTGCGGCAGTTTTCACAATCTTTTTAGATCAGTAATTACTGTTGTTGCTGTTGTGTGTGACGGCCTTCTATCTTAAAATAGGGGGCCCAGTCTTCTGAAGAAAATTCTCGGGGGCTGTCTGCGGCAATTACTATTTTTTCTGTCGAAATACTATTATGACTGGCAATTTTCATCAAGCTACTGAGTTTTTTTTTCTTAAAAAACTATTTCTTAAGGCAAGTTAAACTGCAGTCTGGACTGTACCAAACATTCAGGGCTTCACCTTTATTCGAGAAGTCTGCCGATGAATATGTCTTAAGTGCACGTATAATTAAACATAAATCTACAGCAAATTGGCCAAATTGACGATTTTCAAACGATTTTTTTATTGTTGCTCTCAGCATCCTATGTCTTCAATGTGGTATAAAATATGTGCTAACCATTATTTCGAAAATCTACTAAGACTTTCTGATGTTAACCTTAAATTTGCACTAAGAGTATTAGTAACTTTTTGGCGTTGTCAATAACAATTTCAAACCATACAAAGCCTGATTTCCACTTCTTTCTCTTAAATGTAATACTTACGCATTTTTACGAAGCGAACTATAGTATTTAATTTTTCGGAAGTATTGATAGTTTAATAATTGGGATGTTTTCAATTGAATTAAGCAAAAACTGCTCTGATTTTCATGTCAATTACCTTTTAAAGTGAAAATTGTGACAGCAATTTTAAAGGAAAACTTTGATAATTAAGAAGTTTTCAATCTGATCAACCAAAAACTGCCTTGATGCGAAAAGCAAATAGTTTTAAAGGAAGATGTGATAATCTTTTGTTTGTTTATGGGAGAGTCGAAAGTCTCAACTTGTTTTGAGACAATTTTTTTTCTCTTTTTCAGTAAGCAAATGCGTTACACAGAAAAATTGCCAATTTTAAATTGCTCTTGAAGCGTCTGTGAGACTAATTAGTTCTGAAATGCAGAACTGAAATTTATTTTAAATTTGGAAATCATGGCATCAATATCTTAATCTCAAGTTTAAAAACTTGACATCTCGTAATTAAGAAACCAGACTATAATAGTTATTTCGAAATTATAGTTGCCCGAAAAAAAATACAGAACATTTTCATGTCTTGTCTTGTTGCCTACATACACAAGATCAGCACAATGCGCAGGGTGATGAAGCTCGGTAAGAGCATACAGAATTCAGAGAGACAGAAAACAGCAAACGCATACACTTACTTTTTGTTAGCATCTGCTACCAAGTAGACATCTCCCCCGTCCCCTCCCACCCCTCCAAACTTAGCCAGTCCCGCCCCACTTCTACCCCCATACACATTACACACTACATGGTCCACGAATCTCTGATCCCTCACCCCCAGAGCCTTCCTCCAGTTGTAGTCTGCAGTGTCGATTCGTTCCACCCCACCTGGGGAAGACACATGGGGTGGGTGCGAAGAAAATGAGTTGGGTGGAGGTTCATCTGAAGCTGTTTTTGTTGATTTCGGATGAAGATGGTCATCTCGGAAGCCGTAAATAAGAAAAAAGGTCTTAAGGTAGGCAAGAATTAACCAATTAACAAAATGAAATAAAAATAAGGGCTCTGTCGTAAAATCCAGTTTTGGACAATTTGAAGTTAAAAAATTTTCACGAGAAAAAAATGTTCGCGTTCACTGTTTTTTTTTACTGCGTGTTATCATTTATTTAATCATTTCTACTACCTCGTTTCAAAATAAATTGAACCAAAAAAATTTACCATTCTGATGCCTGTGTGAGTTTGAAATCATCCCATTCCCAACATCTGTTTCTGAGAAATATTTGCGTGACTTCAATCTGAGAAAAGTTAATTTCTGTTTGTTGAAATTTTGCCTGAGAAGACCATTCTTCACGAAAGATTGACAACAAAAATGACACGTCCAAAAAGAAGATGCCGAAATCATTTTATTATCTGAAAATTGAGAACAGGGAAAGCAATTTTGAAAATTGAATTAGCATGGATGCAGCAACTCAGCCCTGATATCTAAGAAAAATAACAAAATATAAGCTAGTCTAGAACCAAATCCTTACTTCTGTCCACAAACATGGCTAACGTTTTCAACCACAAGTAAAAAAAAAACGAGGAATTCATTTAAATTGATTTTAATTATTTGTATCATACATATCAACAAATAAATCTCAAACTGATTTTAAAAAAGGTCTTACGTGTCAATGAAGTCATTTAAGGTATCAATGAGCAACTGCTTAACTAGATTCAAATGGGATGTTAACTTGATTGTATTTCTTCTAAATCAAATTATTGATCAATTGTTTGTTGCTTGGCAACTTCCCTTTTCAAAGTTTTGATGAATTCAATTTCTTTTTGTTTCGATTCTAGGTAATCAAACTGTTGCCATAGGTAATACGAAGCGGACCTCTCTAGTAACTAATATTCCTCCTATAAAGAAATAAATCAGCAATTAAGCTTACGAGACCTTCATACCTAGTCACGACTATCCCCTTTTGCAAAAGGGGAATATGGTTAAAGAGATCCATACGAAGCTTTTAGAACTTGAAAAGGCACCGTGTTGTGAAAATTGTTGCTGCTCACATCGTTAAACGCGGCATTGGCAAGTAGCGACAGCTGGCTCCGATGCGTTACTTTTGGTACTAGTGGCTAAGGATCAAGTTAACATCCTTTCAAAGTTAACATCCTTTCAAAGGATGTTAACTTGATCCTTAGCCACTAGTACCAAAAGTAACGCATCGGAGCCAGCTGTCGCTACTTGCCAATGCCGCGTTTAACGACGTGAGCAGCAACAATTTTCACAACACGGTGCCTTTTCAAGTTCTAAAAGCTTCGTATGGATCTCTTTAACCATATTCCCCTTTTGCAAAAGGGGATAGTCGTGACTAGGTATGAAGGTCTCGTAAGCTTAATTGCTGATTTATTTCTTTATAGGAGGAATATTAGTTACTAGAGAGGTCCGCTTCGTATTACCTATGGCAACAGTTTGATTACCTAGAATCGAAACAAAAAGAAATTGAATTCATCAAAACTTTGAAAAGGGAACTTGCCAAGCAACAAACAATTGATCAATAATTTGATTTAGAAGAAATACAATCAAAGCATCACCGCTCGCTCCATATAAACTTAATTCAAACACTTAAGGTTGGTAGTTAGGTGCATTAGAAAGACGAGCTTTATATTAATTGGTGAAGTCATCGGGAAAATCGTGACATAAAATTAAAACGCCCGTGGTTACATAGCCAGTGGAAAATCTAAGACATCGCGTCAGGAGCTTGAAGAGTCCAGGAAACCTGCCAGAATGTCTACGATTTTTGTTATAACTCCGAATTATGACATTTTTATAACTCCGAAATTGTTTTGTTGAGTAGTTGTATGAGTCGAATTCTCACCTCAGGTTTTACTCCTAGTTGTCTCAAACTTATAATTATTCACTCAACTCGACGTTTTAGTATATTTCTTTTATTGTTCAAAAACCGAAACGAAGCATATCGCCCTCAAAAACGTTCCCTTAACGTCAAGGCCTGAATTTTGCAGTACTTGTGAGTTTTGCTTCGAATTGATTTCTTATCTCAGATTTTACTCCAAGGGTTTGTCTAATTTTCAAATCAAAACCTCAATTGTCTGCCTCTGCTGCGGCCCGTTGAGGCTTCAGTCTATTAACATTCCACGTTAATCCATAACCGTTGAATGTACTTCACCGTATACAAAGACATCAAGTAAACCCACACCTAAAATTTATCTTTCAGTCCTACCTTAATATTTAACGAACTTAAAGATGCGTTTTCACATCTATCATGATTTTCATCTTGGGAGCGCTCTCTCTCTCTCTCTCTCTCTCTCTCTCTCTCTCTCTCTTATGCCATTTAAGCCCAACTCCGAAAGCTGAAAAATAGATTGGAAAAATTACTTATAAGAAGAAACCCTCTTGTTGACCTATCGAGTAATTATTTTTTCGACGTATTAAATCGACAGAATAACTTTATACTTTGACAAACCGTGAAATCCAACTTTATATGAAAAACAGATTGGTTTAAAGGGGAAAGAGATTGGGTTGAAAGGAAAAAGGAAAAACTACAGAAAAGACAAGATCAAAAAAGCATTTTGAAAAACCAAATTAGTGTGCGGCCAAAAACTAGACGATCTTTATTTCATACCGATCATAAATTAGACAAAATTATTTGTTAATTCTGATTGGTCGAGAGAAAATGATGCAGAGAACTAAAAAGCGAATATCTCAAATAGCAGAAAGTTTACATAAAGCCATCGATCGATTTTTAAATTTAGATTTGTAAAAGCTCCAAGAAAGGGTGAAGAATTGATTTTAGAGGGTTACATAATCAAGAAAAATCGAAAAAGAAAAAATATCCAATACTGCAAGTATACAACCAAAACTTGCCCTTCCTGATTAATTCTTCATATTCCAAACCAAAAATCATCAGTAGGCCAGTAGTTCATCTCCATCTGCCATCAATTTATGAAAATCAAGTGCAAGAATTAGATGAAAGTTTTGTACCGCCCGCATACACTGAAGTACAAAGAACAATGAACCAAACAGTTATCCCCGTATCCAAAAATTTCAACGAAACCATTTCACCAATGCATGGACAAAAACCTCGAACAACAAAGGTTTTTTGCTTTATCAAGGAGATGAAAGGTTAATCCTTGCACCTATTTAAGGACTAGAATTTCTGGTAAGATCTAAAAAATAGTTCGGGTGATGAAACATTCAAAATTGCCCACTGGCCCTTTTCACAAATTAGTACGGTTTTTGGTATCAGCGAAAATTGGAAAATACCCTTTGTCAGAGCGAGAACGAAGAAACTTACCGAAAAATTTTTTCCAAAAAATTTAAACCTAAAACGACAAACTTTTTGTAACTTGTCTTGGATGCCCACACTTTTGACAAATTTTGAAACTGGGAGCATTTTCCAAAAAAAAAATTCCAGAACTCGTTTTTTGCGAGAAAACAAATAGCCCGACACTGAATTTAATAGACTGTCGACCATCAGCCTGCCTTTCCTACCCGCTGATAAGCTGATAGCAAGTTTCCAAGATTACCAGTCGTCTGAAATATCAGAAACATTTACTCGATACCAAAATCATGAGAAAAATTTTCAGTACCTTACTGATTTTTGTACAAGCGGTTACGTCCCCATTGATATATGGAATGTCTTTGAGTGAGATATTACACTAAGAAAAACGAATACATTATTTTTAAATTTGAATGCCCAAGAAGTCGAATCCCGAATGCAACTGCGACAAATATCTGAAGTTAAATAGCTTCAAAAACGATGAAAAAAAATCAACTATTGGATGAAAAAATCATTCGTCGGAAAAACTCCTATCTAGGGGTCTTTTATCCTCACATATGCATTGGTAGAGAATGGTTACGTCTCCCTTGGTATGTGGAATGTCATTGACCAGGATGTCACCCTAACAACAACCAAAACATTATTTTTTACAAATTGAAAGCCAACGAATTCGAATCATGAATGCAACTGCGACGAATATTACGAGGTGAAAGAGCTTCAGAACACCGACGAAAAGACCAATTGTTAGGTGAAAAATTTATTCGTCTGAAAATTTCTGTCTTAGGGATTTGTATTTTCAAAAATGTATTGGTAGGGAGTTGCAATGATTTGCCAAAACATTTAAACATCGATGTCAACTATTTTGCCACAATGTAAACTATGAAGTTTCTTTTTGCTGAATATAAATCTACTTTTTTTATAAGATATCAGGAGATATAAGGTAGAGTTAAGATAGCCAAAACAAGAGTAGGTGAGTATCAGAGGAAAAAGACAATACATATTAATGTAATGTCTCTTGTTTAGGCTATCTTAACTCTGATTTGCGAATCCCATTTTTGTCTACTTTATGACGCGTACTCTTTGCTACGTAACCAAACTATACACAGACAATTTCCAGATAAAACTCCGTTTGAATAAACCTAGCGGGTATTTCGAAACTTTGACAACTCATAAAAAAACCGCATTTATTGGAAGCCAAATCTGCATCCTTTGAGTGTGATCTGACAGCAACCAAATACAGGGCTGGCAATTTCAAATTTTGTAAACTTTTAACTCACGCTTTTTTAATTCAATTTTTGAAAAACCATAAAATTTTGCGAAGTTTTTTTCATATCTAAGTTCTTTGAAAAATGTTAAAATGACGTGAAAAACGTCACATTTCAGAAACTAAGAGCAATTAAGCAGTCGCATTTGGATGCAAGATTTGCAACGCCAGAGTACTCTCAATTTGAGAAACTTCAAAATTAGGTTTTCTAAAAATAGATTTTTTGAACCATTAAAAAAAATTACATCGCAAAGGTAAAATGATTTGAGCAGCCATATATGGAGGTAGGACTCGCAATCCCTGAGAGTACTCTGAGAACCTCTAAATACAGGGTTAGAAAAATTCAAAAACCAAACTTTTAAATTTTCTGAAAAATTTTTGAGAAAATCTTTAAAACATCATATATGGCCAAACTCAAAAACAAAAAATTCAGATTTGAGGATTCATATTTAGAGGCAAGATTCGCAACCCCTGAGACTAATCTGACACCCCCAACTACAGGCTTGGGAATTTAAAATTTTGAAGAAAAAAATTAAATTTAAGTTTTCTAAGAAACTTTGGAGAAAACTACAACAAACGACATATCTGGAAAACTACAGGGATAAAGATTTGAGCAATCAACTTTGGAGGTAAGAATAGCAACTCCAAAACATTATTGCAAATACCCAGCTACAAATTTTCTAAAAAATGAAAAAGAAATCATAAAAACGTCATATCTTGAAAACTAAAAAGATTTAAGCGACAGGATTCGCAATCCTTGAGAGTGCTCTGACAGCGCCCAACTACAGGCTTGGGAATTTCAAATTCTGTGAATTATTTTGTAATTTGGGTTTTGTGACATTTTTTGAAAAAATCTTCGTATCTCTTACATTAAAAAGATTTGGACATTCATAATTGTAGGCAAAATTCGCAACCCCTCGGCGAAGCCTGACTGCATCCCACTTTTGGGTTGCTAACATGAAACTTTGTGAAATGAAAAAAAAAGCTGGAAAATCGAAAAAAATTTCTAAGTATTGCATTATATTAGCGATAGCGCTTCCAATAATCAATTGGCTGGCAAATAAATAGTTGTTGTTCTGATCAAGCTATCCAAGCAATGAAACTTTAAGCTATTTCAAGTTCAGCCGTTTCTTTAATTGGTTTGAAAGACTTAAGGTTTCATAGAACAAATAGGTTCCCAAAAAATGAAGTTTTTTCTAAGCAAGCTTTTCAAGCTATGAAACTTTAAATATTCCAAAATGTTTCATGAAGTAAATCCGATGGCGAAACCAATTCGAGAAAAAAGTAAAATTTATCTCGGCAAGCTATTAAAGCAAGAAAACTTTGAAAAAAATTCCGGTTGTTTCATAGAGCGAATCAGTTAGCGAAAAGTAAAGCTTTTCTTAGTAAACTACTCAAGCGATAAAACTTTGAAACATGTCAGGTTACTCCACACAGCGAACTGGTTCGCATAAGATTCAAGTTTTTCTTTGCAAACTATTTAAACCCTGAACCATTTCCAAGTTATTGCATAGACTGATTTGATTTGCGAAATTTTAAGTTTTTCTACGCACTATTCGAGCTACGAAACTTTGAAATATTTCAATTCATAGAATGAAGGCTAGCTATTAAATTTATGCTTTGAAACACTTCAATTTATTTCGAAGAACGAATCGGTTCACAAAAAGCTAATTTTTTAAGCAAGCTATTCAAGCTTTGAAACGTTTCAAGCTATTTCATAGACCAAATCCGTTTAAAAAAGTTCAAGTTTTTCGAAGCAAGTTATTCCAGCTATAAAATTTTGAAACAAACTACAGCGAATCGGGTAGCAAAAAATGATATTTCATTTCAACCAACGAAATTTCAATTTGTCTAAGCAAGCTATTCAAGCTCTGAAACTTTGAATTTTTCAAGTTATATCAGAGATCAAATCGGTTAGCGAAAAGTTAGTTTTGGTAAGCAAGCTAACAAAGCTAAAAATTTTTTTTTAAATTCAATTTACTTCCAAGACTGAATCAATTTGTGATAAGTTTGCCTACAAAATTTTGCAAAAAGCTTTGAAAAAGCTTAAGCTTTTCACAAAACGATACGATCTATGAAATAGCTTGAAATTATTCAAAGTTTTTCTGAGCACGCTATAAATGACATGAAACTTTGAAAAATGTCGAGGTGTTTCATGGAAAAAAACGACTGGCGAGAAGTTTCAGCTATCGCCAGTGTATTATAATCAGACTTAAAACTCAGTTCGGCGATGATTTAACATATTTCTAATTTGAACAAGCAAAGTATAAGTTAATTTATTTTCTATTCAAAAGCAGCAGTATTCCTTGATCAATATCTAGTTCTTTGATCTGTCCGGAAACTTTCCATTTAGGATTCCTCAAAGAAATTGGGCAAGTTTGGATTGCTTTAAAAAAGGGTAGAACGGCAATAAGTGTATCGCGTAGCACAGGGTAGAATAGCAGAAAGTTAGATTGCACTTAAGTGCAATGTCATGTAACCCAATCGCACAATTGACACTATGATTCGTCAAAGTCACCAACACAATGTTCATCAAAAATGGACCACTAATCCAGCATAACAGTGTGGATTAGTTTAAAAAATGTCATTTTCCAGACAATTTCAGGTCTAGAAATTAACTTGCGACTCACAGCCGTTCATGTGCATTTGTGTAGTTATGCTCAGGAAATTTTGTCAGCGAAGCTTAAGTAAACGCCGGTTGCTGGCAAGTAGCACATATGGTTCTTACCACAAACTTACAAACTTTCGTTTTTCTCGATCTGTGTCGTTTTAAGTTCTTCTAAGCAAGCAATTAGTAAGCAAGCTTGATCTTTCAATTTTGAAGTTCTTAGCAAGCAATTAAAGCTCTGAAATTTTGAAATAAATCAAGTTATTTCAAAGGGCAAATCGATTTGCAAAAAGTTTGCCTAAAAAAGTTTGCAAAAAGTTTCTAAAAAGCTCAAGCTTTTCGCAAAACGATACGATCTATAAAATAGCTTGAAATACTTCAAAGTTCTTCTGAGTACGCTATAACTGTGATGAAACTTTGAAATATGTCAAGTTGTTTCATAGAAAAAAACGACTGGCGAGAAATTTCAGTTTTTCTAAGCAAGCTATTGAGACAATGAAACTTCGAATGATCTCAAATTTTCACAAAGCAAATCGATAGGTGAAAAGTTTATGTTTTTCTAAACAAGCTATGCAAGCGATGAAACTTTGAATTATTTCAACACATTTCAAAGGGCCAATCGGTTTGCAACAGCTAGTTTTTTTTAGCAAGGAGGTTGCCGTTTTTAATTGGTTTGTTTCAGAATCAAATGAATCTGAAATGACAAAATTTTGAAAAAATGGACAGGCACTGTCTAGCCTTGAAAATGAATTGAGTTGATCTAGTTTGAAAAATTGAATTTATGTTAAAAAATCTAGAATATTCCAGACTCAAGAAAATTTGAAAGTTCTAGAACATTCTTGGCCTTCTCTTAATCTTTATATTCAAAAAATTTTCAGCGTTGCATTCGACAAAGCTAAAACACTGCGTTCAGTTAAGCATTGCGTCCATAGCGCATTCCGAATTTCATTTAACATATGAAATTATACATCAAAAATTCTTTTGTTAAACATGCAAAAATAATACGTTGAAGAAACTTAAACGTGGCAAGATAGTGAAGCCCGTATTTCAATACATACACAGAGGCGATGCTTCGCTTCGCAAACACTTGCGGGAACACGACAAACAGCAGCTCTAAAGTGCAATAATAAAAATTATAAATAAGCCTCGAACTAGTAAAAAAAAAAATCGGCTACCTCTGATATTCGAACTTGCTACCAAGAGATTAAGAGTCTCACACACTAACGACTCAGCCACGGAAGCTTAATAGACACCAAACACTAGTCACAATTAAAGCAGAGAAGGCCACATTCCAATGCTACAGTGAAATTTCCAAAAAAGTGAACAATTTTATTTGCTAAGTAGGTTAGAAAAAAAAGAAGGCTCGTAATAACACACTATGCTGATCGCAAGTGTAAGTAAACTGAGAAAAGATCAACTATAATTGAAATTTAAAAAAGCTTGAAATTTGAAAGAGCCGACAAATTGATTTGACCTAGTAACCGATTGCAACAAACTTGCTATCGCCAGTGTATTATAATCAGACTAAAAACTCAGTTCGGTCATAATTTAACTGATTTCTAAATTGAACAAGCAAAATCTAAGTTAAACTGTTTTCTATTCAAATGCAGCAGTATTCCTTGATCAAAATTACTAGTTTTTGATCTGTCCGGAAACTTTCTATTAAGGATTCCTCAAAGGAATTGGGCAAGTTTGGATTGCGTTAAGAAAAGGGTAGAACTGCATTAAGTGGATCTGGTCGTACAGGGTAGAATGGCGAATGGCAGAAAGTTAGATTGCAATAAAATGCAATGTCATGTAACCCAATCGTACAATTGACACTATGATTAGTCAAAGTCATCAACAAAATGTTTATCAAAAATGGACCAGTAATCCAGCATAACAGTGAGGACTAGTTTAAAAAAATGCCACTTTCCAAACAATTTCAGGTCTGGAAATTAACTTGCGACTCACAGTCGCTCATGTGTATTTGTGTGGCTATGCTCAGGAACTTTTGTCAGCGAAGCTTAAGTAAACGCCGATTGCTGGCAAGTAGCACAGATGGTTCCTACCACAAACTTACAAAATTTCGTTTTTTTTCTCGATCTGAGTCGTTTTTATATTCGTGATGTGGTAAGAGGATCCGAACAAACGCCGAGAGCTTAGTCATAATCAAAACTGATGGTTAAAAAAGGTATATCCGACAACAGCTTTCAGCGAAAATAAAAAATCAAAAAATTTTATATTCAAGTAAGCAAACACCGAAACTAATTTTACTGGAGTAAAACTGAGTTTTCACGGCTTAAATAAAATTACTGGCCTAAAATAAGCCTGCTGTTTACTTTATTTGCTCCAGATTAGGCAAAATTGAAAAATTTCAAATAAATTGAAAATCAGTTAACAGTTAGTGACAAATTTTTCTCCGCTTATTCAGTGGAATCGATACGACGTAATTTAACGGTTATGATTGAAACTGTTCTGTTCTGGTTCACTGACACTTTGGAAGACTTCCATTCAAAAAACCTTTATGGTAATGATATCACCGAATCATCAATGCGCAGCATTGGTTATTACATTAGTTAACATTATGAGCAAATCATGGCTGTAGCTCAGCTGGCCCACCATCAAAGGGCTCAGTTAGTATACTCTCCATCTTCTTTACAATTTCCGAACCATGTTTGCTAGGCGCTGCAGGTAGCTAATCGACTGTCTTTGAAGCATAGATATCCATCACTTGAAGGCACTGCTGAACTCTTCGTAAACGACGAAAGTGATGCATGTAGCAGGCACCACTCGAACCATACTTGGGAGGAGTCCCTTGTAGAAGCCACGCATTCCTTCTTGCGTATAGGTGTACTAAACAGATTAATCTTAAAAATATCTAGCGCATGACTCGCACCTCCGGTGTTTTAAATAGATTGTTGAACTGGAAAAGTGCTTCCAAAAACGCATTCAAGACAAAACGATATTTAACTCAACCGTCAAATTAATCTGGGTCCATTCATCAGGATGTTCTATTTCAATTATTGAACTATTTATAAAGTCAACTTTTAGGTTATTTTTCACCAAAATGGTCATATCTTCATACTACTGAGTTTCATCGGATATGTAAATCTTTAACACAAAAAGGAACCCTAAAAATTTCCGCAGCATACAGAGATTTTCTTTATATTTTCGGCAAGGTTCAAAAGTTCTAACATCAATTATATTTATTTGAAAAAATATTCTTTGATATACTGAAATATTTGAAAAACATGAAATTGTCATGAAGTCTCAGAAAATAAAATTGAAAATTTCAAATAGAAGCCAAAATTGCTTGTTGAAAATTTCAAGTTTTGTTAGTTGTTTTAATCTAAAGAAATCAAAAATCGTTAAACACCATACCTCGGAAACCAAAAGTATTGTAGCAATTTTATTTTGAGGCCAGATTTGTGAATAAGAAAACCAAGAGTGTACCAAAAAACACCATAACATAAGGAGACTTTCAAATTTTTCGTAAGCATGAGTTTTTTGAAATAAAAATAAAATAAAAAAACGCCGTATCACGGAAACTAAATAATTTGAGCAGTTACATTTGGAGACGAAATTCAAAATCTTCGAGTATACCTTGCGGCAGCCCGAGAGGTAGAGAATTTCATGCTTTACTTCTTGAAAAAAAATCAAGTTGTTTGAAAACAAAATAATTTAAAAAATTATAAAAACACCATATCTCGAAAACAAAGAAGAAATAAGCAGTTAAATTTCGAGGCGGGATTTTCAACCCTTGAGTGTAACACGACAACCCCTGACAACAGCTCACCATAAGGTAAAGAATTTCAAGTGTTTTTTTTTTTCATACCCAAGTTCTTTGAAAAAAATCTCAAAACCAGAAGGATTGCAGCAGTAAAATTTGGCTGCCCGACTTTTTGCAACTCCCGGGTAAACCCTGACAGCACCCCGCCATACTGTTGATATAGAGTTTTTTAGTGTTTTGTAAACGTTAGTTTTTTGAAAAAAAAACTGAAATCATAAAAACGCCATTTCTCAAAAACCAAAGGGATTTGAGCAGTTATATTCAGAGGGAAGAATTCAAACTCCATAGTGTACCCTGAGAGCGCCCCATGAAAAGTTTAGAGTTCCAAAGCCTGTAAGTTTTTTTTCGTATGTAATTTTTTGGAAAAAGAAAAAATAAAAAAAACCATAACTCAAAAACTAAAAGAAGCTTATTGAAGTTTGAAGCTTACCAAAAGAAGTTTGAATTGCGAAACAAGGAAAAACTGTTCAGTTAAATCAATCACTTTTCAACAGCTGTATTATAGTTAATAAAAACAGATGACCTTGGAAATTCAAAAGATTGAAATCGACAGAGAGGCGAAGCAAAGCTTCGCACCACTTGCGATACAACACAAACAACAAAACATTAGTCGAAGTTTCGAAACTTTGACTTGTTTGAAGGCCATAACTTTGTTCGTTAACAAATTGTGCATAGCCAATTATAAACGTAGACTTTCAACAACCCTTTGTTTCGATTGAACCTATGATATCAGATTTGTCAGGATAGTTAGCGAGAAAAATCTAAGAAATGATCAAAAATCCAAAAATTTTACATTCCCAGAATCATAGCGACTACACCCAGAAACAAACAGTAAAAAATCAAAAAGTTCAAGGGCCATATCTTTTGATGTCAGAAAAATTTGGGCGTAGCCGCATAAGCAAATGAGCTTTCCCCATCCCGTTCTTTGAATTGAACCCAAAATCTCAGATATACCGGCATAGAAGTTTTTCAGAATTCTCAAAAAGTTAGAAAAACGGTCTAAAAATCAAAAATTTGACCTTTCCGAAAGCGATAAAATTTGTGTCGAAAAAGTTGGGCGTAAAAAGAAAGCGAAGGGGCGTCCTACAACCCGTTCTTTGGTTTGAACCCAAAATCTCAGATATGAGAGGGTATCTTTTGGTTACATTCATGAAATTTAAAAAAAAACGCTCAAAAAAATCAAAAATTTGACTTTTCCAAGGACAATAATTTTTTGTGTAAAAATCAAGAAAAGCCCCGCTAATGCAGGGGGTATCCCACTACCCGTTATCTCCATTGAACCCACAACCTCAGGTTTTTGAGAAAAATTTTAAAAAGATTCAAAAAAGGGTAGAACAAAATCGGAATATTCCGAGGACCATAATATTATATGTAGAAAAAAATTGGGAGTATCACGAAAGTAAAAGAGCTTCCCACTACCGGTATTTTGGATTGAACCCAAAATCTCAGATATGAGAGGGTAATTTTTTGGTTGAATTCATAAAATTAAAAAAAAAACGCTCAAAAAATCGTCTTTTCCGAAAACGATAACTTTTTGTCTAGAAAAACTGTGAGTGGCTACGCTAATGCAGGGAAGCATCTTACTACCCACTATATCCATTGAACACAATATCAGATTTTGAGTGGTTAGTTTTCGAGAAAAGTCAGAAATATTCACAAAACTGTCAAAAATCAAATTTTTGACAATCTCGAGAGCCATAACTTTATGTGTAAGAAAAATTAGGCGTAACCGCATATGAAGGGAGCTTTTCAAAACCATTCTATTCATTGAAAGCAAAAACTCAGATGTGAGAGGAGTTTTTTTTCGAAAAAAAAAATCAAAAATATGGGTCAAATATTCGCCCACAAAAATATGGGTCAAATATTCCCCCGCAGACTTTTTCGAAGGCTGTTGACAGAGGTGTCAAGTAAAAAGAGACTATAGGGGAGTATGCAAGCTCATAGGTGAGTAGGCGGTCTTTTAGTGATACCACTTTTCTGAAAATCAGTAGAAGTTTAAGATAAAACAAGCGTAATAAAACATATTGAACGTTGCAACATATTGGCATTTCATTAAACTGGTCACTTCTTAAACATGTGTCAAGCATGTTCTTAAACATGTGAGAAACGCCAATCATTCCATTGGGTTGACACAAAAACGAAAATTATATCAGTTCACTATCGATTGAAGAACTCAATCTGAAAAAAAAACTGTTATTCAATCAATGGCGGATTCCATAAGTCTCTTTTAACTCTAGGTAACTTTTATTATGGTGGACTATTTTGCGCATTTATACTCAACCTACAATTAAATATCCATAACACTCGCAAATCACGTGCAAGTGTAATAGTTGATGTGGTACCTTAACTACATGAGCGACTCCGTGCTGTACTCTATGTTGGTCCTGGAGCCTCGCCCTGACTACCTGGTAGGGATAAGTGATCACTACTGCGAAGAACTTTGAGGAGGCGGAGAAAAGCAGGTACCACTTCGTGGCCAACTTAACCTCTTCTGAGGAGTGTTTTTGATTGCTCGCATTTGAGGAGTACTTTCTCCGATGCCATTTCTTCATTTCTTCGTACGCCATAAACTATCAACATAGGAATATTTAGATTGACAGCTACGACAATGCATGCATATTTGCTACAAAAAATTGCGAATAATAGAGAAAAACAAGAACTTGGAAGAAATCGTTTTACTTTGTGTAAAATTACGGAAGTTTAGGGTTCTTTTGAATTAACCAAAAAACATTCACAAACTTTTTGGTTTTGGTCTCTATTTAGAATGCCATTATAATACTTACTTGAAAAGCTCCATGAGAAACCCCAATTAAACCAGCTGAGAACCCACTGTACAACCCCTTCACACCCTCCAGTCTGTATGTCTTCAGTAAACAATCAACAAATCCCCGATACATCACAACTTGACCTCTCGGCTTAGCACTCGGCCCATTAGCCGAATTAGACTCGTACTGTAAACAAAGTCTCGTCTTCGCTACCCAAACTGGGTTAGTAAACGCCAGTGTCACTGCGCCGGATAAGGCAGCGGAAAACATATGCGTTCCAGGTGACAAAATCTTCGGTTGTGAAGTTCCGTCATTTGCCCAAAACTTTTTAAATGCGTTATAAAAATAAAAGTATAATCCCCAGGATGCACTGGCTCCAATTAAGTTAGGAGTCACGCCTTGATAGAACCCGAAAACACCTCCATTTTTGTAAATAGACTTGCAAATATGTCTGATGTTTTCGTAATAGGGTCGTGACTTGAAACCATCGTTGACTGCTAGACGTATTTTGACAATGTCTAGGGGGTGACAACATAGAGTGGACGTTAGGCCTCCCGTTAGACCGGCCGCTAGATCGACTGACCTGAAGTTTTTAAAGAACTCGCCCAGCGCATCTTTTGAGACTTGCATCCAAGTCGACCTGAAACTGAAATTCACATATCAAAAAATGGGTCGTGGAAGTACTTACGGGTCGAGTTTTGTTGCATTTCAGCTTGGAACATCATTATTTAACGCATCTTTAAAACAAATTTCATAGCAAAAAAAAACAACTACTTGTAGACAGACCCTAGAGTTTTTCAAACAGCCTCTAAAAATAAGTTTTGAATAGCTGAAAAACTAAAATACCAGATTTTCATCTTCACATGTGGCCATATTTGCAATAGGGCTGTACTGTATTCAAGAATTTATAATCTATAGACATCCGTGCATTCATTTTCAACTTTCAAAAGCTTTGTACCCAATGTAAAAATATGCTTGCAAGTAAAAGATTTTGAAATAGAAAACTATTTATAACGACCTTCTACATCAGTAGTCGAATAAGCGTTGTTTTGTAGATACAGGGATATTTCGTGACACACCCAAATTGCTTTTTGTGTTTTTCCGACAACCACCTTGTTCAAAATCCTTGATAAAAACTGAATACAAACCTTTCTTGTTTCGAAATCCGCTCAACACGATATAGACGAAAAGAGAAACCAAATCAAGACATTCAACGTGATATCAATTATAAAAGCTACATGAATGCAAATATATTTGTTTGAATCACTCTCAATTGATAGGCGATGAATGATTAATTAATTGTTTAACTAAAAAAACTTTGGCGCTAAGCAGTCATTACCAGTCTTTTCATAGGGTGTGTCCAACATCTTGGACAAAACCATATCTATTTTCTAAGAACGTTTTATTTTTCGAATTGTTTTTAGCGCCCAAAAAAAAAGTTTTTTGTTTCCTTTAAACTTGGGCTACAATATTGCAAACTCAATGCATTGAATATCTAAAAAGAATTGTTCAGCACCTCGTCGAAGTTATGCGGGCTGTTAGATTTGTGTGCAACGCTAGATTCCAGAAATATTACAATAACCAAAGAGAGTTGAGGGCGATACCATTTATAATGCTTGAATAACAGGTTTTTGTTCTGCTCATCATCATATCATAGGCGATGATTCATTGATTAATTGGTTACTTTTCTCAGCATCTTTTTTCAAATTTTTGCGGGTTGCTAGATTTGTATGCAAAACTAGACTCCAGCGAGTTCAACTACGCTCATAAAATCATTCCAATTTGAGGCAAACTAATTAATTCAACTAACTTTTTGGTGGGTAGACTCAAATTTTTTTATCCAAAAAAAACGAAGCAGGTGAGAAAAATTTAGCAGCAAAAGGAAAATTTTGGTACAGCAAAGTTACACTTCCGAAACACAAGCGATGAAACAGCAAAGAGTAGCACTAAAATGGTGAAAAAACAAGGCTCGTTTCAAGCTTCCCATCCCCGTTGAAAAATTACTACATAAAGCTGTTTAAAAATGGTTTAAACGGCAATCTGCAAGAAAAAAATATTGTTAAAATTTGTTCAATCGAAGATTGGAAAAGAGTAATGAACGCAAGTAAACATAAAAAAATTACTGACTCTGTTTAAAAATCTCGACTTTCGATTTTCAAAGAAAAAATAGATGCCCTTTAAGCTCTTTGAATTTCTAGAACAATTTATTATTGGTGCTTTTTTGATAACATTTACCCTACTAGAGAAAACTGGATCAACAGGTACAGTTTTAATTCCGCTGGAAAACTTTAAATTTAAATTCCACTTTCGAAACTAGAAATCGTACATTTTTTGCGCCATTTCCACGTTCGTATTTGGAGAGCGCAATTTACGTCATTTTCAGCAGATGAATTTCGATTGAACTCAAAAAGTGCATTAAACCTAAGTGCATCAATATTTTCAGACGTTTTCCTGAAAAAAATCAGCAAGACATATATAAGAGTATTCACTACGTTCATTACTCTTAAAAACAAAGAGGGGGACTCGAAAAGAGCCAAAGTAAACACAAGAAAAATAATAATTTAGACTTTTGCCGGAATCGAATCACAAAACTGAAGACTAAGTGTCGCATGTCGTCGTATCTGAGCCACTTGTGTCTATGAGTAAGCTCTTGCACAGCCTGGTCCACGGGCGTATAAATTATTCGAATTATGCTTGATTAGGCCAGGGCTCTATTGATTTATTTAAAGGCGACTGAGATAAACGCGCAATCAAAATCTATAGTGCAATATGTATATGTATAAGTTTGAAACATTAGAAAATATAGCTTTGTTTACCATAAAATTACACCTGTTAGCAGTTTAGGTAAAAAATACCTTACATTGAAATTATTACAATGGCTATTTCTCATATTTCAGTGAAAAAGCCAGAACAAACATACGGGTATGTCGAAACTTAGTCGAAAATTTCGACACAGGCTTAGCGGAGATTCGTGCCATTTGCAATACAAAAATGATTAAAACCCAAGAGCACAGTACCAAACTTCAAAAATCGGAGTCAAATTTATATCGAGACCTTGGCATCGTATCACAAAATCCGAAAATAAAACATAGGATAACCAATTGGATCTAAGCATACAATGATTGAATAGATGGAAGCCAACATTTTCAGCCGGAATTTTGAAAACAAACAAAAATTCAAGAAGAAGTTTTCGAAACTTTTGATTAAAACACTGAGGTGAAGCGAAGCTTTGCAACACTTGCGATACAACGCAAGCATAGCAATGCAATCTACCAAATAGAAAATCAGACGGAAACAACTAATCAGAAGCAAAAAAAATTGGGAAAAAATCTGATAATAACTACATCTACAAAACTTCATGTTTGATTGCACTGATTTTCCATTTCAAGTTCACACAGTCGAGAAAAACAATCACCCGTTTCAAAGAAACTATCAGTATAATAAACCGAGCGGCAATTTATCCCGCAAAACTTCGAATTAACTCAAAGTATTGCTATCGTTACAAAACTATCAAGTTTTCAAAGTCGAACATGCCCAACCCTTTCATACCTGACCGCTTGTGAAATGTAGGAAAGCATAAATTCTGTTTCTTCTGTTCGACGATTAAGGCTATTAAAATTTTCAGTGAAACAATACAAATTGGAAAAATTTCAGCAAAATACAGAAAATATTCAAAATTAGTATTGCTAGAAATGCACATTACAAAACGAGTTTTAATAATAGAAAAAAATTGTTTCAACCAGGAAAATACATGCTTTGTAACTTAAGCAGACAAAAAAAGCATCTAAGATCAGAAAAAAAACCTTTCACATCCAAGAAAAAAAGATCCGGTCGAATTACAACTCCGAATTTCAGGATGCAAAAGCACGCGCTTTATTTCTTGGCCAAATCGGGATGGACCTGGATCTCATTGAGGTCCAATAAGAAAGCAAGTCAAAATCCTTGTTAATTTCTAGCAAAAATGGCTTCAAGAAAAAATTTGTTCGCGCTCAGTGAAATTATCGGCTAGTGGGGTAGAAACGTCCTTTTAAAGGTTCATATTGGATCTCCGAGAAAAGATCGGCAAACAGATGACGAAATTTCAGCAACAGCTAGAAAACTATAACTTTCACAACAAAATGTCCTCAATTCAAATACAAAAAGGTAAATTAGGGAACATTAGAAAATACTTCAAAAATCTAGATTGAAAAAATAAAGCAAAAAACGAAACACTCGCTTGTAACATGCAAAATATGCAAATAACCATTGATTGATTTTGCTGAAACCTTTTGCAGGATTCGAAAAGCAGCTTTGTAAATCCATCTGCTCAAAAAACCTTCACGTACGTGCATTAAAAAAAAACTAATTCAACCCGGGGAGGAAAAAAAACTAATTCAACCCGGGGAGGAAAAAAAACTTCAAGAATGTTATAAAGCTCTAAACTTCAATTCCAATTACTTCCGCAAAAACTGATATCATAACAAGTCAAGGTTTTCTGTTTCCAATTTTTTTATTAAGAAAACTAGTTAGCTTTGCAGTAAAATAAATAAACAAATATAACCCTATAGGTATTTGAACTCCACCAAAATCATTTATTCTGCAACGATTTAAGTATTGGAGGCAATACATTACACCCCAGAAAAAATTGCTACGCTATTATTCATTCGGCTTCTACTTTAAAGATAATAAAAAGATGAGAAATGATCATCTCAAAAAGTTGTATAACGGCAGAAACAAAGTTGTGTAAAGGTAGATAACTTTCAATTTCTTTTGTAGATTTTATATTTATTTCTATTCAAAAGCTGCCTTCAACAGCAAAACACTCTAAAATATTTTTTAGTGAACAATATAGTTTAAATGAGCTGCTTGGAAATGACATATCAGCCGAAACAAAAAGCCAAAAAAATATATGTATGCAAGCACCAATTTTGAACGAATCGAAAAATTTCAAAAAGTGTTTGATATCTTGCTAATTTTTTAAGCAAAAAACAAATGCAAAGTTTATTTTGAATTTTCAAAACAAAAATTCAATAGCTTAGTAGAATAGCAGAATATTTACAAAGAAAAATCATCGTGTAAGTAAAGAGACGTTCAATAAGACGAAAATCTGCAAATAAGTCTGCACTACGCTATCAACATTGCACCCCAAGGGCATTTTTATCATTTAGAACATTCGTCACGTCAATATGTTCGAAAGGTTCTTAAAAAGGAGAGTGTAATACCCGTTACAAAACCCTTGCTCATTTTACAATAACCTTGATAACACAAAAACAGTATTGCAAGCTAGCGGACAGAAAATGGAGACGGAAACCACGGTTGAGACGATTGAAGAAATAATTAAAAATAATTTCTATAAATCCAAATCTACGAAAAATTATGCATTTGTCTCACAAGCTCATTTTGAGAAAAAAATCAAAAACACATTTTCCAGCAATTAATAAGCATTCAAAAACATTTACTGGTCGGCAATACGCTACTCGAGCCAAAAACCAAAATAACAGAAAACTTTTAGCAAAACTGTTTCGAAATCTATAATTCTGTCTCAAAACTATTTTACCTTATTACTCCTGGCATAAAACTTTTTACACCATAACCAGTATATCCCAAAACTCCTGGCCGAAAAGAGCATGACAAGTTTTTAGTTCTTTGAACGACAAAAAAAAAGAAGTAACTAAACCAATAAAACATAACCCAAACAAGTTAGGCGAAAAAAGGAAACCAAAAAAAGGTATGCAAAATCAGAGTTGGTAATTTACAAATTACTGAAGCCGTTTATTTTACAATTGAAATTACTTGAACCAGAAGGAAAACCATGCATTGAAGAAAACACATTCGTCACTTGAGAGAGTAAGCCGACAAAAACAACAGGCGAAGCGGAGTTTCGCATCACTTGCGATACAACAAACATAAAAAACATAAGTCGAAAAAAATTAGAAAAATAGGTCTGCCAAAACGTTCGGATGTCTTGATGTAAGATCATTCCAGGCAAACATTTCGACCAAATAATTTGCATATTAAATAGGCAACGGAACAAAACTTACGAAGCGGAAACAAGACCGACAATTTTTGAGCAGACACCAGTTGAGCCGAAAAAATTGTGATTGCAAAAAATTAAAGTCCCCTTGAAACTAAATTAAAAGCCACTTGCACATATAATGAAAAAAGCTTGCAGTACAAGAAACATCTGTGACCTCTATGCCAAGTGGGAATGAACCTGTAAGTTGTTTAGCTTCAATAATAAAGCCCTTCTTTGGTCTAGGGGAAAGTCTTAAGGTGTAAGACTTCTGGTATTAAGGTGTAAGGTTCCAGTTCAAGCCGGACCTTGTTTTTTTAGAATATGCAGAAATTGATTTTCAAATGAAAACTTGATTGTCCGTACTATCGCTTTTCTGCATAGACTTGCGAGAGCAACTGTCTCGTAATTGTGAACTAGACTTTTTTCTCGTGAACAACTTTTCGTACTAATCTTGCTTGCTTTATTATTGAAGCTAGGAAAATTGTTCACGAGAAAAAGTCTAGTTCCCAATTACGAGACAGTTGCTCTCCCAAGCCTATGCAGAAAAGTGATAGTACGGACAATCAAGTTTTCCACTGAAAATTAATTTCCGCATATTCTTAAAAAAACAAGGCCCGTCTTGAACTCGAACCTTACACTTTAAGACCAGAAGTCTTACACCTTAAGACTTTCCCCTAGACCAAAGAAGGGTCTGGAAGATACTGAGGTTTCATAATCAAGCGAGGTCATTTTCTTACAGATTTTTTAAAATTGTTTACAGGAAAGGTTTAGTTTCCGATTAAACACTTGCTATAACAGGGGAAATAAAATGAATTAAAAGCAGTATAATTCTTAATATCAAATTAAACGTCTGAAAATAATTATATCAACCAGCAAGTGATCATAGAACTGAAATACCCATAAATATAGTTTTCCAATCACCTAAAATCAAAAATTGCGAACAAAATTTTAAAAATGAGCAAGAACCTGAGAAACTTATTCAAAGAAGCAAAAAATATTAATCAATTTTTACTAATAAAAAAGCCGTTATCTTGAAGGACAGGTCGATGATGACCAGTGAATTTACCGCCAGCATGGGAGCTCAATAAACTCGAACCGATCAAGAACAAAACTTAAAGGCAAAAATTCTATTAAATAAAACAAATATTCAACATCAACAATTCGATTACATTATATCACAAATAAAGTTTGAACTATTTCAAATCGAACTGATTTTGACGTTCAGTTTCGTCTCCCTTCCTTTTCAAGAGTGCTGAGGTTGCTGCTGATTTCTCAGCCAACCTTTCCCAGACGAAACTTGAGTAGATGCTACTTGAGCCAAAACCAAAATAACATAGAAAATTTGTGACGTTAAAACGACACAATATGAAGTAACTAAGCCGATATAACATAAACCGAAACCAGTTAAACCGAAAAATAAAAAAAAACAAAAAACGAAAAGGCATAAAACAGCAGAATTGGTAATTTACAAACTACGGAAGCAGTTTATACACAAAGGCGAAGCTTAGCTTCGCACTGCTCGCGATACAAAAAAAGAAAGCCGCTAAGTCGGAAAAAAAATCGAAAATGTCGAAAAAACTAGATCTATTAAAATTAATCAGGCTAGTTTGAAACAAAAACATTCCAAGACAATGAAAGGAGAAATAGGCATCGGAAAAAAATTACCAAGCGGTATAAAATAGGTTGAAATCTATTAAGCCGAAAGAAAAAGATTTAAAAAGCCGAAAAAAAATTCAAAAAATTTAAGACTAATTAAAATATATTAAGTCCCCCTTGCCCTCACAACACACACAAACGCATATACAAACTTTTTTCGCTCGTTGAAAGTCGCATCATGAGGCAATTAAAGCGATTTATGATAGACCGAAACCTATAAGCGAAAGAAGAAGGGAAAAATATAAAACGCCGAAAAAATAATTGTCATGAAAAACAATAACTTCTATTACCTTTTTTTAGCATTTTGTGCAATCCAGAAGGGAGACTAAAAATGAGTTTCCTTTGAGACTACTCAAAAAGAGGTCACTATGCCGACAAAACATAAGCGGAAATCATTTGGGCGGAAAAAATTTTCTACGCGAAAAAAAAAACAAAAGAAAATATACGAAGTCAAAGTTTGGTAAATTACAAGCAGCAGTAAAAATAAAACACTAGAAACAACTATATGGTAACTTGCGTAAAGCGAAAAAAAAACCAATTCTAAGATGTGGCAACTAAGCCGACAAAATATAAGCAGACAAACAATACGCCGACACCTTTCTTTGAAACGGAATATTTCCCGTTTGAAAAAAAAAACAGATCCTGTCAAATTCGAACACAGGACCTTTGCCGCCTTAGACGTTTTCGTTGCCTCCAGGCCAAGTGTGCCGTAAATACAAAGAAAGTTGATTTTTTATGAACTGAACCTTAATATACCATTTCTAATTATAACCATTCTGTGAACAAAGTTTTTAACGGGAAAAAGCCTAGTACCCGATTGCAATACCCTAGCTTATCGCAAGGGTACTTATAATTGAAATTGCTTGAAACAGAAGGAAAATCATCCGTTGAAAAAAATCGATTCGTCGCTTCAGAAAGTAAGCTAACAAAAAAATAACACGCGAAGCGGAGATTCGCATCACTTGCGATACAACACAAACAAAAAAAAACATTAGTCTATAAAAAGTTTTAAAAAACTAGGTCTATCCAAACCTTCGTATGTCTCGATAAAAAATGGCATTTTAAATTAGCAACGGAACAAAACTTACAAAGCGGAAACAAGGCCCACATTTTTCGAGCTGACACCAGTTGAGTCGATAAAACTCATTTTGAAAAAAATTGAAGCCCCCTTGAAACTACATTGAACAACAGTTGCAACTTAAATGAAAACTGCTTACAGCTGAAGAAAAATCCGTGATGTGGCAAAAAATATTTATCAAACCTTACTTATTAAACAGGTCGATGATGGCGCACGATAAGAGCGTACTCACTGACTCGAACCGGTCAAGAAAAAAAATTAAAAAGCAAAAATTCTATTAACAAAAACAAATATTCAAATTCACTAATTCAATTACAATAAATCTAAATCACAAATAAAGTTTCAACATTTTCAAGTCAAACTGATTTTGACGTTCAGTTTCGTCTCGTTTCCTTTTCAAGGGTGCTGAACTGGCTGCTGATGTCTCAGCCAATCTTTCCGATACTGGTTGTCGATATAAGAATTGAAAACTTTCTATAGAGCACTCAGAATTGATCGCTCTGAAATCTTTCACAGTTTCTTCGCCATAAAATTGATTCAATTCCGTTCTGTTGCATCGAAAGGTATCTGCTAATCTTTGTTTCTCTTTTCTCGTCAACTTTGATTCATTAGATTCGCTTATCTGATGAACTCTGTAGAACAAATCAATCAGCCAATTATCCTCTTCTGGGTTTTCTTTTTGAAAATCATACTGATAATTGTCGATTTTATTAGCCATATCAGCTCGAGTCCATTTGCTGCTTAGGTCATTCATGTTTTCCTTGCCCGAAAATGACCACAGTTGCTTTCCACATAGACGTAATTTACCCAACTTTGTGAAACAGTTGAAGTATTGGAGACACTTTTGACTGAGGTTGTGATTGCAACACAGTGACAGTGCCCTTAGATTTTCCAAACAGCCTCAAATAATTGAACTCTGTTAATTTCAGTTTAAAAACGAGCCGATGTTTTTCAATACCAAGTTTGCAAAAGTACAATTTTTGGTACGATTTCAAAAGTTTGTCTTCGCAAGTCTTGACAATAAGGAGTTTATTAGGCTTTTAGTGGACTCAGAAAATGTTTTTCTATCATTCAACAAATCGGCAATATTTTAACACATTTAAAATACGTTTACTGCCTGTGATATAAAAAAAATCACATTGCTTCATCAGACCCCGAAATGTTCCAGCTTACCTGTTTTATAAACACGTTGCCTTCCAGTTAACAGTCTCAAATCCTCGTCATGCAAATGGCTCGCATCCAACTGCAGAACAGTTAAGCTTTCGAACTCTTTTCCAGTAATCAAAAGACGTTCCTTGCTCAAATCGCACCCCTCAATCAACAATTTCTTCATCCCGTTTAACACACTGAATGGCAAGTTGTACAATTTATCAGCCATGGTTGGGTTTCGTTCTACATGTAACACCCTGAAAAGTTCTGGGCAAGCCTCAATAGCTAAATGCATGTGATTTTTCTTCTTTTCCTCGCTAAGCTCTTTGCTGGTGAATATTTCCTCGACTATCATTTCCGGTAAGCCGTAAAAGGATTCCACTAAATCGAGGTGGTTCACAATGAAACTGAACATGATTACACGAAGCAATTTCGGCTGCCATTCTCTATTTGAAGGATCTTTTGTGTTCGTTAAATTATTATTTCCACATTTCTGGCCACAAACCAACCATTTGTCCGAGTTCATTGGTAACCTTAAAATCAAACAAGAACGTTTTCCTTCCCATTATTTGCTCTAATTATGAACACTTATCGAGATAATTTCTAAACTTTCTGCTTTTTAAAACTTTCGGGATCAAGGAAAAAAGATGGTGAATACTTCAGTTTGAATTTAATAATCTACTTAGTCAATAATATGATCTACTTCCAAAAAAGACGAAACCCAACTCCTGAATTGGGCCAGCGCTAAACATGTGAGACAGCTCAATTATTTTTTACATAGTGACGAAACGAAGCTTTGCACAAATTGCGATTTAAACATAGCAGTGTAAGCCGAAAGACAGAAAATGGGAGGGAGGTCATTAAGGCAAAAAAAGTGTCACTGGGTCCATTTCCGAGACGACTGAGCGATTTCTCAGAGCTCTTATTTGTGAGAAAATCCCTACTGTGCCGTTGAACATTTTAAAATGTATGCATCTATTGACTGCACCTCGAAACCTTAGAACTAAAATCTGAACATTGGGAGCGTGTCATTTCCCTTAGCCCAATTTCGGCAATACACTTCCGAAAAGCCGTGAAACTTACTGCAAAAATTTTATTTTTGTCCTTTATCCTCAAGTCAGAGCTCACTAAATGCTTACAAAACACACCTGATGTGGATTACTACAGCAAAAATTACCGTCCAACGCGAAAAAAAACAACGGTTGAGCGATCTATGCAGTTACGATGATACTTCGCTCATACCCAAAATACCTGGCAAACTTGGCAACGTTGACGTCGATTTCAAGACAGGATCAAACTCTTCATTACCAGTCATTGATACGAACGTGAAAAGCGATGGTTGTCTGAGGTTCAGACTCAAAGTTCGCACCCACAGCTTAATCGAAAGAAGTATTAGCTGTCAATGCCAGCAGATTTTTGCAATATGTTCCTGTAGGATTCTCAATGGTGGTGCGAGCAGGAGAAATGCATGACGCTTTAATATTTGCTGTTATTTTAGCAACAACTCCATTAAAATCCTGATTCCTCCCCAAATACTTATACCATGGAACAGTGAATTGGCAAAAAGTATAAGAGCAAGCTATCTCCAAGATGATGTAATGATCGATATTAAAAGGCAAGTTGTTGCATTTGAGAGCCTTAATAAGTAGTTTAAAAAATCAATCTGCCAACAATTCGTTTCTTTTGTGGGAATTCCGTGTTCTTGTAAGAAGGTGTAACTGTGGGTTTAAAACATTTACTTCAACATTTGTTCTGTGAGCTCTCTTCTTTTCAATCAGCTAACAAAGAATACCTCAACTATATGAAAGATGATTTTCTACGTATATGCGACAACGATTTACCCTTCCAATTACGATATAGCATGTCAATGAAACTGGTCTTAATGTAGCGACATACCGTGCTCATGATACTTGATCAAAAAGAAGAATGATTCACGTACCTCGTCACCCCTCATGTGGACCTTCAACTCATCTTCAAGAAAATCGGTTGTCTCCGATAGTACCTGCTCTACGAGTTGCTTCAGCGACAAAAATTAGAGAATTCTCAGCCATCTGGACTATAGCAGACTACTGGTGGCTCGCAAGGTGTGGGATCTCTGGTGCTACATACCAAGCGAAACCGACGTGTCGATGCTAAAAAACCTTACTCCTCTGCAGGAGAACCTGTTCTGTCGCTAAAGAATTGACATGCAAGAAAACCTGAAAGGAATACTGAAAAAACGTCGAAAGACAACTTTAAGAGTTTGTCTTCTACTTTATTACCCCCTCCACTCACGAACAAGTTGAAACGTGTCTACATTCTAGTAGATATGCTCCATGAATGTCGTCAGTGCCATTAAAACCCACCACGATTCTGAATCATCTGTTGGAAAAACTGTGTGAACCTGTAATGCACGATTGCTGTGTCTGGTGTTCACCCGGAACTGACTGTTGCAAATACGACTCGTCAAAGTAATTTAATGTCGCTTCTTTATATGCTGTTTTCCATAACAGTTATTTGAACGAATTAGCTGTTTGTCGATCAAACAGACTGATGGAGACTTGATATAGTTTCGATGACGCGCTCCGACACTTTGCACCATATTTGAAGAGCGAAGACAATGTGACGAAAGGTTTGGTGCAACGGTTCGTTCGTTATTTGAATGCTTTCGATTTCAGTCAGTGGGACGAAGTTCCTAAAAACGAAAGCACCATTTTCGTTTGGCAGGGATGCCGATGCTCACCTAATACTCTTAGCTAGTTCTGCAAAAGCTCATCTCCTTACTTTTTGCTGCAAGAATTCACACCGGTGTCTGGTGTATTACCATCCGTTTAAAGTACGTACACAGTTCCTCATGGTGGCAATTGGAAGTACATACGCAACGAGCTACGCATCATCAGCTAACATTCAATGACAGGCAAACGAGGTTGCTTATTCTTATCAAGAATTCGCTTGCACCTCCCTCAGTTCCAACTTTCGTCTCTGGTCAGAACGCAGTCCGTTGCCATCTCCATTCACTACTACTTAGTGCGGATTTTTTGATCAGTGGTTCATTAGTTCTTCAGAACCTATTTATTACAGGAAACCAATGTTTGATCAGTCTTTGTAAAAAATATTTGCACTCTGCTACGGATGATGGCTTCGCATACTGTTACGACAACATGTACACAACATTACGAAATGTAGAAAACATCAGGCAAGATGGAATAGATGAGGTCGAAGAATTTAAGTCCGATGTATCGGATGATGACTTAAACGACGAGTTTGTTCCACCAATACCACATGTGATTTGTTCCACGTAAGATGTGGAAGCGAAGTTCATAGACACAGATGTAGCTGTTACCAGTTTGCCATTGGAAACTTCCTGGTACGCATGGTTTGGATGTATATACTTCTCAAGCTTAACTCAATTCGTATATGAATGTTTTGGATAAACCTCGAACACCACATGGTATGATTGCACGTTTGGGTCTCGTACTGCAGTACTTTGCTGCCATCAAATCAATGTCAGGGTGTCGGTACACCAACAAGAAGCACATCTTTTCCCAAGCAACGAACGATGGAATCTTTCCGGGTGTGTTTCCTTTTTTCCTGTACCCTTTCGAAAAGGATTGCATTCTTTGCAGATTGAAAAAAAAATAAGCATAAGCTGTTTTCGCGCGCTTTTCGTTCCAAAAGTCTGATAGTCGAACTCATTTGCTTAAGTTAGTTGCTGCTCTGTCTTCGGAAACCTCAACTGTTTTTTTACTGTCATGCAACCATGTCATCCTGTTGTCGGAATGATTATGGATAGTCCTAGAAAAACTAAGCAAAATATGGGCCAGGGCAGTGTTTCAAGCCACAGCCGGCAACCTGCCTCACAATCACATTCAAATCTGTTGCCAACCTGGGATGTTCTCCGTTGACGAATCGATTCAATGCGCTAAGAAAACTATTAAACTGAACAATTATTTGCGAGCATTTTTGGCCTCATGTACAGTAAAAAAAAACAATAACTTCAAGCGTATAATCTGTACACAAGGTTCCATACCTACGACTGTGAAACAAGTAAATTCAGATGCTTGAAACGAAAAGACTCCGCAGGAAACAAGATCTGACAAAATCGCCCTTTTCTTCAAAGTCACAGCAATTGGAAAATGACTCTCATCGGATCGAGCCCGCAACCTGCACTTGTTAAGCTCAAACAATTGGGCCTAGCAGAATGTAATGCTTCAAATCCCGATCGGTTACAACCCTTTGCTTTTCTCTACGAAGAATAACGTAGGTATGTTGCAGGGAAAGGAGAACACCTCACCACATCTTCTCTTATCTTCCTTCTCACACGCTCCAGCACAGCCTTGTTGGCAACAGATCCTCATATCAATGGTTCGTATCTCATATAATGTGCAACAAAAATTGAAGAGCATTCAGACACGAACATAACTGCAGGATTTGATGGCAAGTCTTTCCGGTTGAGATCGGAAGGCATCGTCAACATACAACTGTGTTTTGTGAAGCATTTTTTCGGCCAGGAGAAAAAGCGGAAATGCCATATTGAAAAAGTGGACTGCACACTTATGCCTATAACGGAACCCTTTTGTTTAGACCAACATGATTTCATTCAAATTCCAAAGAACCCGCCTGGTTAAAGTTAGGAAGTTTCGTTCAAAATGCCACTGATCCATGTAATTAGCAATGATAATATTTCGTCACAAGAGTGCCGGAAACCTTTTTTTCAAAAAATTTACTCTAGAAAACGTGGAAGTTCAATGAAAGCTACGATAATAACTTAGTTTATTTTGCGTTCTCCCGAGATCCGTCAATTCAACGATGTGTCCATATACTTTCGCAGCTTTCGGTTTCAAAAAAACGTTATGTGCCTGAAAAGAAACACAGGTTCGTCCTTGAGGAGCTTGCTTCTTGGATTGATTGTTTGGGTGATTGGGTTCGTATTCATCCTCAAGCGCTCTATTCATTTGAAGCTCATTCTTCAACATCCTCAACAGTCTTTTCCTGAATACAACCTGATAATTGTTCACTTGTGCATGAACTGCTGTGCTGACAGCCGGATGAGGCAACTCCCTGATGGAGACTCATTGTTGCCAGAAATAGTATTCAAAAACATCACTCCTCGCAACGTAATTACTTCTTCAGTTTCTTACCTGGTTCGCTTTTGTTTGAAACACCTAGATTTGTTTCATTCATACGAGTTGTTCGACAGCTTTAATGCATCTGTCCTTATTAAAATCAGGTACGCTTTACTCAAAAAGGTTTTTTGTGTCTTCTTAAACTTCAAACTGGAGAATGAGTAACGTTTCCTGCCTGGTGGTTTTAACTTTTACGTGAAGACGTGATTTTTTCACAAGTGCATGGTGTGAACTTTGACGAGTCGCACCTAGAAACACCGATTGTTCTCATAAGTCATATCAGTTAGCAGTTAACTGAATCAGTTTCATCAACTTTTACCCGCTATCAAGAAGCACTTTTTGATACCGTTCGCATTCTCAACATTCCAAACATGCCTTCTCAACTTCCTGATATTGAAAATCCTCGTGATCAAACGATAGAGTCCAGAG